GCGACCCTGACATGTCGCAATCCTCTCCTTGTTTCGCCGTCCTGTGCTTGATGTGTGCATGCTGTAGCAAGCGAGAACAGACAATGGACCAGACCCCGGCAGCCTGGCCTTCGTGCCGCTCGTCGCCGCCAGTCTGCCCCGCCTTGCCGTGTTGCGTCCGCTGCTTGGTCAAAGCGAAGCCCGGCTTGCCTCGTCCCGGCTGCTCCCTTCCCCGACGCTCCGAGGCCCCTGACAGTAGGTTGCTTCTAGCGAGAGTCATGGCGGCGACAACCGCATTCCCGCCCCCGGCTGCCGAGACGCCGTCGAGAGCGGAGAGCAAGAAGGCTGCGGGGTGTTCGCACGTCGCTGCGCGGCCGAGGTCAACCTTCGCCAAGAGCTGGTCATTGTCGCCCGCAGCTCGCTCCCCCTGTGCGTTGGTTGTGACCCCGCTACGTATGTATACATATGTTGGACATCTTGCTGGGCGGGGACAGCCAGGCTGGACGTACGTGTACTGTACACGTACTCGCGCCAAAGTCGGCCTCTTGCAGCACCGCTTCGGATGTGTTTGCCGGCTGGCTGCAGCAGGAACGGAGCGGCAATTTAGGCCACCGGCAGCTGAAGCGTGGTCGGATATGTGCCTCGGTGCTTTAGACGAGGTCGGGTCGGACGGGCGGGACTGCCCCTGAGAAGCCGACCGGACCTGCAACCACGCGAACAGTCGGGACCCCTGCCTGGCGGGCTTGACGAGGCAGGAAGGCGGCTGCCTGCCAAGCATCAAAGGTCTGCCCTTCGCTTCGGATCCGCTCGACGGTCAACGTCCACAGCATGGTCCGCGGGCCGCCGTAGAAAGAAAAACTTGATATGTCCTGTGGCGGCCAACGAGATCGTTATCGTCGGAGCTGCCCGCCCGTCCGCCCTCCTGCCCGCCCGCCTTGCTGCGCCTCTTTTCGCCATCCGGTCCATCGAGACAGATTTGAAAATGGCGACGCAACGCAACGCGACGCAATGCAACCCGACGGCGGTCCGCCCCTTCCGCTGCGCAATGAGCGGCTGATGCTGACGCCTCGGTGCGAGGGTCCGTCTACTTTGGAACCCCGCGGAAAATGCAAAGAGTACAGTCCCTCCTAGCGGCCCAATGTTGCGCGTTGAACCTCGACGACGACGACAATGTACGGACATCCTTTGCAGGTTCCGCGTCGGGATCAGGTAGCTCCTGCGGCCGACCTTGATCAATGGCGGCCGGCACCGCAGCGCCGAGCGGCGGGGAGCGACGAGTCGGAAGCAAGGCAGGCGCTGTCGGTTGAGCTCGCGAGACCGTGCTAAGGAAGGGCTTCGCTCGGTTGCTTTGCGCGAGGAACGAGGCAGGCTACGGCAAGTCGGCGAAGGGGCTTGGTCGCAGCAGCCAGGTGGCGAGAGCCCGCTGGCGAGCAGCGTGGCATCGAGGGGCGACGACAAAATCCGCGCCTGGGCGGGCGCGTTTTCGTCGCTCCTGAGGTGTCAGGCGAAGCAGGGCAGGCCTGCACACTTCGATCGATGGAAATCACTTTGGCAGCCGCCCTCGTCGTCAAGGAGCGTCGGGTCCGCCTGCTCAGCTGCATAGCCTTTTGGCCAGCATGCTGAGCGGACAGCTGATTTCGAAGCGGTCTTTTTGGATGCCCCGTAGTGAGCCAAGTGCCAGGCGAGGTGCAGCGACGACACAAGCACCGAAGCGTGCAGCGGTCAGATGGGGGACGGATGCAGGATGGTACCGTCCCGACGTGTTGTCGCCGAGGTGGACACCGCTCGCTCGAGGTGATGGCGGGCAACCGACTCTTTTCGACTGGCGAACAAAGGCGCGATGAGAGAGCGGAAGGGGGAAAAGACAGAAGGGGGGCCTGCGGTACAGGTACAGTACGCCGCCCGTCGCTTTGCGTTGCGATGCGTCTGCCTGGCAGAGAGATGGGGAGCGCTTGCGACCAGAGGCTGGCTTGCGCCGTACCACACAGGCCAACGGGGCTTCACATGCATGCCGGTTGTGGTCGCAGCTCGACGCACCCCGACTTCGAGCCCCGCCGCTAGCGGTCAGGCAGGCAGGCAGGCCCCCCTGGCTCCCGCTTCGCCTCGCCCACCCCGGGGTCGGCGTAGGGTCGCAACAGCACCGCGCTGACCAGAGATCTCTTTGTCTCGCCGGTGGCTGCTGGCTCCTTGCACCAACCACCCACCACCGCGTTCACCGTCCGCGACGGTGTCTCTGGTGGTGGTGGTGGCGGCCAATCGCCTCGCGCCTTTCCGTTCTTCGAGACCATTCTCTGCTATGGCACAAAGGTGCCTGACTACCATGACACTCTAACACAGCACGATGCCATGGAAGCGAGGGGAATACGCACACGATGCTTGGTTGCGGCGACGGTATCCCTGGAGGACCGTCGTCCGCTGTGCGCGTCGATGGCAAGAGAGGTGGTGCGGTGCAGAGCCCAACGTACCCACCCGGTGACAGCTGATCGGACGATGCCGCCCTGCCTGCGATGCCATGCCGAGGCTGGGTGGCCTGTTGCGTGCTGGCCGAGTGGCCTGCCAAGCGGGAGCAGCGATGGTGATGGCGACGGACGGTCTGGCGCTGGGCTGCGGTCCGGCTTCCGACTTGGCAGGGCAGGCGGCACAGCGCGGCGTCGAGGCAGGAAATCGACAAGCTGAGCCAGCCAGCAAGCACGCAGCGGTCACAACGGCGGCGTCGGCGAGATGCAGGGCCATCGGCGAGTGCATCCGAAGAGACAGCAGGCCAGGCGCTGCAAGGCATGCGCGCGCCATCGTACAGCCCCCAGGCCAAGCGGAATCTCGAATTCGTCGCTGCCTGGCCGGCGTGGGCAGGACTGAATTTCGAGCGAGGGCCCATGCAGCAAGGGCCTGTTTCGATGCGTGTGTGCGCTTGCCTGCCTGCGTGCGAGCGTGCGTGGTTTTTGTTTTTGGTCGCCCGCTTCTGCTGACGCTGAACTGCTGGTGGCCGTCGGTGTGTGCCTACCTGCTGCTGCCTGCACGTCGACGAACGACAACGGAACGGGCTCGGATTGGCCGTCGTCGTCGAGGTCGTCGCCGCCGTCGTCTGGTTGCATGCGAGCATGCCTCTTTTGTGGCTGTCCCCTGCTCCTTGGACCTCGGCAGCTTGCTTGCTTGTGTGTTCGGCGCTGGTCTGAAGCAGAGAGAAGAAAGCGTGGTGTCGGACGCGAGCCGGGTGGCAGCGAGCGAGCGAGGGTCGAATTGGCGGCTCGGACCGCCTGGGAAACTTTTTGGGCTGGCGCTCCCAGCCCCGGCGTCCTCCCCTGGCTGGCGTGGCTTGGCTTGGCTTGCCTGGCTGACTGGCTCGAGACTCCGTGGCCCCGCGCAGCAGCAGCAATCGATGGCGGGGCCAGCGAATTGGCGCCAACCGGCCAGCTGCAATTTTCTGAAATTTCGCCCGCCATCGTGGGTGGGGAACGCGCGAGAAGTGCGTCGGCGTAGTGTGTGGGGCCAGCCGACAAAGGACGGTACGCGGGGAGGGGATTGGGGACGGGGGCGGCTGCTCTCTGCAGCTGTTGTCGCCGCCGTTTGGTCGCCTGGTGGCCTCACCTGGCTGGCTGGCTGGTTGGCTGGCTGGCTGTCTGCCTGCTTGCTTTGGACAGCATCAAACCATGGCCATCGCCCCCTGCTTGCGTGCCCGTCTGGCGAGCACCCGTTAGCCCTCCTTGCTTGCCTGCTCGCCGCCCTCGTTGTGCTTCGGCCTCTTCCGTCGTCGACCAAGAAGAGAGGAACGCAACGCTACGCTGGGGGCCCTTGGCCTTGAGCATCAGCGCACGCCTTGGCCATCCTCGTCGGCCCCCCGCCCCGTATCATCCAGATTCCGGCTGAGCCATCCAGCCTAGCCAGCCCGCCTGCCCGCCTGCCCGCCAGCCAAGAAATTTCCACCTCTGGGAGGCGCCTCGTTACCGTTCCTCTTTTCCCCTCGCCCACCAAGCCCTGTGTCGACCACCTCCATCCTGCCCACCCAGACTTCAGGTGCTCGCCGCCGTCGCTGCTGCTGCTGCTGCTGCCGCCGCCGCCGCCGTCGCACCCAGCCTCCAGCGCGCTCCACGGGCATCAGCAGCCACCCATCGACAGCTACCGTAGGTCGCAGAGTTTCCTCGTGCCACCTCGACCTGCCCCCCTCGCTCGTCGTCCTCCATCCCCTCTGGCCGCCTTGTTGGGGCTGACACGGTACGGCAACGTCTCACCGCTTGGGTCTCCCCTCGCCCTCGCCCTCCCCTGTATCGCCGCCAGCGCTTTCTCCCTTTCTTCCCCTTTCCCCCCTCGTCTCCAGCGGCCCACCTCGTATCGTTCGACCTCGTCCCTCGCTTCGGACCGTCGTTCTGCCTCGCCTCGCCTCGCTCCCTCTCCTCTCTCTCCCCCAGCCGCTTCCGGATCCTGCGACCCCCAGACTTTGACCAAGGGATCGCCATCGGAGTCGCAACCGCTGGCCTGGCCACCTCAAATGTCAACCGTCTGATCGCCTTCTTCTCGCCACCACCACCACCACCACCACCATCAACATCACCCTAGCCCTAGTCCGACCTCTCGCCACCTTCGTCGGTCGCCGATTCTCTTTCGCGGCCGCCCTCGTCGGTTCATCATCCCCTTTCTCGACCTCGCGATCCAGCCCGCCGTCGATCAGCACCGCGCGCCGGTCTCCTTGAGCAGCAGCAGCAGCAGCAGAAGCAGCAGAAGCAGCAGCATCGGCAGCATCATCCAACGTCGCCGTCTTCGGTCTGACCGAGCTGCATCTGCCGGACCATCACCTCTGCTCGCGGCCCTTCGGCTCGTTCACCGATCGACCGCTTTCGCCCTCACCCCGATCGCACGGCACCGGCATCGAGCCCGTGTCCTTGAACCGACCTAGGGGGGCCTTTGCTTGGGACTGCGGCATGCTGTGCAACCCCGGCCTTTCTCAATCGTGCGGACCGTTTGATCAGAGGAAAGCGGGTCCAGCAGACAGCGGCTACGACTTCTACCCATCCTATAGCTCGGCCGCCATGCCCTCGCCCTCACCGAGACAGGAGACGGTGAGCCTGTCGTTTGACAAGGCGCCGCAGCTTGCCGCGTTGCAGTCGTCCGCCCGGCCACGCAACCACGTCCGCAGCATCTCGATTGAGCCAAGGATCCACGCCCAGAGTGTCTTTGACCGTAGGGCTCGCGACCGCGCCGGCTTCCTGTCGCCGCAGGAGAAGATGGAGCTCGAGCTGGAGCGCGAGGCCGTCCTGCAGATCCAGAACGCCCAGGCCGCCAAGCGACGCCCCAAGATCATGCGACTCACCCCTGCCTTTCCCAACTCGCGCAAGGCCGATGCTGGCGCCAAGTCGCCCAGTCCGCCTTCGAGCGCGGCCTCGTCGATCGTCACGGCGAGCGAGGAGGAGCTTGCCACGCCACCGGGAGCCAAGATCCCATTCCCTGTCGCCAAGGCGCCCACCTCTGGCGGTCTCGCCATGCCCTCGACAGCTCCGCCGCTCCACCCCGCATCTCGCAAGGCACTGGCCCTCAAGGCAAACAGCCCCGGACCTGAGGTCAGCGGCCTTCACATCGACATCGCGTGCATCCCGACGCCCAGCGTTCTGGACCAGCACGCCGCCGCGTCGACGTCGACCCTCCCCGAGCTCATCCGCAAGAAGTCGGGTGAGCCCGTCAAGTCGTCGTTGAAGCAGTACCCCTCGTCGGCGCTCTTCAACTCCAGGGCCTCGAGCGACGCTTCGATCCCAAGCGCCACCTTTGCGCGCGCCAAGAGCGTCCCATCGACGCCCAACGTCCCCAAGGCGGTACACTTCGACAGCCAGCTCGAGCACATCAAGATCTTCCGCGTCAAGGGCCGCCCCACGGCCGTCTCGCGCGAAGGTAGCCCCGAGCAGACCGAGACCGAGACCGAAGAGGAGCGCGAGTACCCGTTCTTCGGCCAGCGCCGCGGCCTCCCGAACAGGCAGGGCTCCGGGGCCAAGACGCCCTCGCCCACGGCGACGCCCCCAGTCGAGATGGAGGAGCAGCTGCTGCTTCGCCTTCCCAACTTTCCCTCGTCGGCGCGGCTCTCGGTCGACCGCGATATCTTTCTCGAGCGCGTCTACCTCTCCGACGACCTTCGCTCCGTCAAGGGTACCGTCCAGGTCCGCAACCTCAGCTTCGAAAAATGGGTCGCGGTCCGCTTCACGTTGGACCACTGGGCCACCGTCAGCGAGGTGTCGGCCGAGTACTCGGAGAGCATCAAGGATGGCGATGCGGACCGCTTCGTCTTTTCCATCAAACTCAACGAGCTCCTCAATTGGCCGCGCGGTGCCGGTCTCCAGGACACCAAGACGATGTTTGTCTGCCTCCGCTACACCGTCAACGGTCGAGAGATCTGGGACAACAACGACGGCGCCAACTACCAGCTCGACTTCCGCAAGCGCCAGCTCCCTGCGCAGGTGGCGAGCTATCCGCCCGCGGGTGAGGTGGCCAAGACGGCGAGCGCCAACGGCGGCACCCTCCCGCGCCGCTACACGACTGGGGCCACCGCACCGCCCACTTCGCGCATCATCGAGATGGGCAGGCGCTCGGGCGTCCACGGCCAGAGGACCAAGGGCGACACGGTCATGGAGCAGCTGAGGCGTGAGCTTGACCGGCTGCGGTCGGACGAGGAGGACCACGACGGCGCTGTTCCGACTTCGGGCAGCTTCATCCAAGAGGTCACCAAGCGGCGTTCGCCGCCCGTCTCGCCCGGCGGCTCCAACCAGCGGGCAGCGTCTCCGTCCGTGTGGACTGCACGTTACGACTTCGGGGCATCGCTTCGCAACCCGAAGAGCGGCAGCCGCACTACCGACGCCGGCCGTGCCGCCGCGCTCGACTACTTCTCTTCCAGGCCGCCGCCGTCGGCCACGAGCCCGATCCGCTCGACCTTTGTCGTCAGCGCGGCGTCGCCCACGGGCTCCAACTCGGGCTCCAACCCCGGCTCGAGCGGGTCCACGCCGCGTATCACGCCCAACCCGTCGCCCAACTTCCAGCACAAGTTCGGCATGCTCAGCCCTGGCCTCGACCATGGCGTCGTCCAGCACCAGCCCGCGTCGACGTACGCCAACACGTCGCCGTCGGGCAACACGCTGACGGTGCCGGAGCCCGTGTCGTCGTCGTCGTCGCACCGCTTCTACTCGTTCCCGCCCAACCGCAGCACCTACTCGCCCGGAGGCAGCTGGGCACCAGACGCCAAGAACGATGATGGTCCCGGCGATCGTTCGCCCTCGCCTCGCCACCTCGGCTCAGTGATGGTCAAGCCCGATGGCCTGGTGCTCGAGGACTACACGCCCGACGGCAGCCAGGCGTCGCCAACATCTCTGACCGGCTCGCCGAATCCGTTCTCGCCGGCCATGTCGGTCTCGTCGATCGAGTCGGACACGACCGTGGGCATGGTCTCGTCGGACGACGCGCGCAAGTCGCTTGCCGATAGCTTGGACCGCCTCAGCCAGATGCCATCTTCGCGCTTCCTGCGCGACGACGCGCTGACGCCCGGTCCGAGGCCCTCATCGTTCGCCGCCGGCGACACGCCTGAGTCGCACGGCTACTCGCCCTCGCTGCCTTCGAGCACGCACAGTCCTTCGTCCGAGATCATGACTCCAGACGACCTGATTCGTCCGACGAGCATGGCCAGCTTCAACGAGCTGGTCGCCCGCTTCTGCTGGAACAGCGACAACCAGCTACCCACCGCAAGCAGCGACCTGCACGCCCTTGGCAGCCCCTCGAGCCCAACCGACGCCTCCGGCAGGTCGACTCCCACAGCCGTTGCTGGGCCCCTGATGTGACGCGAGCGCCACCTGCTTCGACCACCGTCCCAGGATCCATCCCTCCCTCGACACGGACTGCTCCCCTTGTGGACGTCCGTCTCGCCTTCGCACTGTCCATACTCCTACCGCCACCTCAACATGCAACCCCATAGAGCGAAACGGGCCGCCTCCGCGGATCAGACGCAAACATACACGAACGCAATCTCGACGCGGCGCATCCCCCGCATTCCGCTCCGGCACACTCAGCAAGCTCCCCCTCCCCTCATCCCGATACACATACAAGTTCACCGACCGATCGACCGACCTCAGCACGACTGTTCCCCCTCGCACGCTTTACCAGATTTCCGCCTCAATTTTGCAACGGCTCTTACACGGCACGCATGCCGTCCACACGCGCAGACACACCTGTCATCTCTGATCCGGACCCGTCCAACAGCCTCCGCTTCCCTTCCGACGCAATGAGTCCCGGGCATTCTGCCCACTCGCAACGCGCTTTGTTATTGTCCAGCCCCTCTTGCCGACGCCCCCCCCCCCCCCCCCCCCCCTCCTCCACGTTTTCACCGCCTCACGCTTGTTTACGGGAAGAAAGCACAAGAGCAGAAGTAGCAGCAGTAGCAGCAGCAGCAGCAGCAGTAGCAGTATCAGCGGCAGGGGTGGGGCACTGGCGGCAGTACGGTGGTGGTCGCGGCGATGGCGACGGGTGCGGCTGCGACCCTTCGGAAGCGCTCTGGCTGGTCACGACAGGCCGCGCCCCCGTCTTTTTCGCCTCGCCCGCCTTCGGTCAGAGTCGACTAACCCTACTGCGCCCCGCGCCGCCCTCTGCGCTGTGTACCAACGAGATTTCATGTACTTTTATCACTCTTCATCTCCGCCCCCCACGTCGCCGCTCATGTTCTTTACGGATTCATGACCTGTCCCGCCCTGGTAGCGTCAATGAATGGCCCGACACGTTTTCAGCGCGCTGCCTGTGGTGGCCTGGCTTGTCGGTGAGTGAGGCTGCGCGGTGGCGGATGGCGGGCGGTGGGCGTCGTATGGGCTGCAGCTGGAAGGCTGGCCTGGTCGCGCGGCCCCTCATGGCAAGCTGGGTGACCAAGAAGAACCCTTTTTGGTGGGCGGGCAGGTGGAGGAGAGACAACTTTGGCTTGCTTCTTGAGCCTGGTCAGGGCCTGCCTGGCTTGCCGGCCGACCGACGCGCCGTGGTGGGGGGTCCCCTCCCTCCCTCTCCTCTCTCCCGTTCCACCACCACCACCAACACCCGCCGCTCCACCACCACCGCCCTCGGCCCCACACCCCGCCCCATCTTCCTCACCATCACAGCCTAAATCGGCGACATCGCATCCACCACCGCTCCGCCGGTCTGTCGCGCTTCTCACAACGCCACCAACGACCTTTCCCTCGGTGTCGAGAGACCCACAGTACGGCCTTGTCCTCCTCCAAGCACCACTTTTTGACGCTTTTGTAGGGTTACTTACAGATCCCCGAATCCTCTCCCCCGCTCCTCTCCGTCCTCGGTCAAACGCGCTGCAACAACTGCATCCTTCGCCTCGCCTTCCTCTCCCCTCTGGCCTGCTTCGCCTCGCCTGCTTCCTCTTCGCCTTTTCAAAATGGTAACGCAGTCGAGCAGTGCCAGGCCGCACAAGCGCTACCGAGACGACCGACCCGAGTCGGATCGCGAACATCGCAAAGCGCCTAGAAGACAGGAACAACGTCACGGCCATCACCGACCGCGGCATGAAGCTGACAGGGCCAACCAAAGGGGCGGCACAGGCGGCGAGCATAGGGGCAGTTCCATCGACGTGGCACAAGGCAGGGCGTACGCCGACCACGCCGAGGAAGGAGAGTGAGTATCGTTGCCTGCTGTCCCCCTTGAAAATATCCGACAATACCGCTGACACGAGATCGCCTGCCATTTCCGTCGTTGAACCTACTGCCGATGCCTCGATGGCGCAGGATCTCCAGCAGCGCAGCCGCAGAACAGGAGGGCAGGGGAGACGTGAAAGACGACGCACCGGACGACGTCGACTACGACCTCGACGACGATCAAAAGGCCGAGAAGCTGCTCGAAGAGAGCCGGAAGAGGCGGCAGGCCATCCTGCAAAAGTACAGCGCCACCGCATCGCCCATCTCCAGCGCCGGCGCACCTTCGCCCGCGCAGCCCGCATCCGTCACTGTCCCTCAAGAGTCGAGGACGGAGGCAGCGCAGAGCACCAACACTTCCACTCGTAAGTCTGATCTCCATCTCGCCTGTTTGGTATCTCGTCGGAGGGGACTGCGAGCTGACACCGCATGCCCTGTCATGGCTACCCTCACTCCGCCCAACCCCCGTCAGCTCGCATGTCCGGCTTCTCCCTCGCAAAGGACGATGCGGCCATCGCTGCCGACGCCAGAGGCGCAGACGGCATCTCTGCAGCCGACTACAATCCCGACCTGGACAAGGCCGAGGACGAAGCCAAGCAGCAGCAGAGGCTGCGTCGTAACCTTGGCCTGCCGTTGGGTCCCGTCGGCGGCAAAGGCACCGCTGCACCCGACACGGTCGGCGGCGTCGCCGAGGGCCTGGGCGAGCCTGTAGACAAGCTGGAAGACGAGTACGAAGAGATCGAGGTGGACGATGACGACGACGTCGACGACATGTTCGCCCTGGACGAAGACAGGCCCAAGAAGAAGAAGGTCATCCGGGTGCCCAAGGGTGGAAGCGCGGCCGTAGCGCCAGTGAGTAAAGAAGCGGCCGGGATCCTGACCACAATGCAGGGAGACGGCAGCTCTCTGACCGTACCTATACGACCATCTGAATACACACTCGCTCGCGCTCAGATGCTGCAAAGCGACGCGGGCACGAGCGCGGCCACGCTCAACGACAACTGGGACGACCCGGATGGCTACTACCGCATCATCCTGGGCGAGACGATGGACCGGGGCCGCTACCAGGTGTTTGCCAACCTTGGCAAGGGCATGTTTTCGTCAGTCGTCAAAGCGCGCGACCTGCAGAATGGCGATCGCGAGGTGGCCATCAAGATTGTGAGGATCCAGGAGACGATGTACAAGGCGGGCCTCAAGGAGATTGGCATCCTCAAGAAGCTGGCCGAGCTGGATCCCGAGGACAAGAAGCACGTCATCCGGCTCGAGGGCCACTTTGAGCACCGCGGCCACCTCTGCATGGTGTTTGAGTCGCTCAGCATGAACCTGCGCGAGGTGGTCAAGCGGTTTGGCAAGGACGTGGGCCTCAACCTGATGGCGGTCAAGTCGTACGCGCACCAGATGTTTGCCGCCCTCTGTCTGCTGCGCAAGGCCAACCTGATGCACGCCGACATCAAGCCGGACAACATCCTGGTGAGTGCGCAGCCTCGCCCAAGCTGCTTGCCTAGGTGAGAGACAAGTGCCGGTTCTGAATCGTCCGTGTGTACGCCCCGCGCAGGTCAACGATGCCAAGAACCTCCTCAAGGTGTGCGACCTGGGATCGGCGTCGGATCTGAGCGAGATGGAGATCACGCCGTACCTCGTCAGCCGCTTCTACCGAGCGCCGGAGATCAGTGAGTCGGAGGACGCGGATGGGAGCCGTATGCGCGGCCGCTGAGGCTCGCAACTGACGAGGGCCAAGCTCGTTCTCTTCCCTTTACCTCGCCGTTCTACCTGCTCCGCTTCAGTCCTTGGCCAGCCGTACGACTGCGCCATCGACGTGTGGTCGATCGGATGCACTCTGTACGAGCTGGCGACGGGCAAGATTCTGTTTCCTGGGCGGTCCAACAACCAGATGTTGCTGCTGATGCAGGAGCTGCGGGGCAAGTTTACCACCAAGCAGATCCGGCGGGGTCAGTTTGGCGAGCAGCACTTTGACGACACCAACGCGTTTCTCAGCCTGGAGCGAGACAAGAGCACTGGCCAGGTGAGTTTGCGGGTGTCGGCCCTAGCGTGGCGGGCTGCTTGCATCGAACGTGTCTGACGATGTCCCAGCTTCGTCGTCCAACTTTGCCTGACCCCCCTTTTGATGCTGCTAGGCTGTGGTACGACGGGTGGTGGTGCAGAAGCCGACAGAGGACCTGCGGGCGCGGCTGCTCCCCGGCAACGCGGCCAAGAGGCTGCGCGAGGGTGAGCTGCGGCTCAACAACCACTTTATCGACCTGCTCAACCGCTGCCTCGAGTTGGACCCGTCGAAGCGCATCACGCCCAAAGAGGCGCTGGCGCATCCGTTCCTAACGTCGCCGTAGCGCGGGCAGCGGGGCCGTGTACGTGTACACACACGCACACACACACACACACACACACACACACACACACGAAGGGCAGCGTTAGATGGCATCGTGCCCTGTTTGTCGAGACGTCTGCAGCGATGCCGCGATTGCGATTGCGATTGCGATTGCGAGGGGCAAGCCGAATGCAAAAAGATGAAGAAGCGACGATGGGCGAGCAGCGTCGGTGACTTTGGAAGGCTCGCAGGGGTCGCGTGGGCAAAACGGGCGCCGGGTGGAGGAGGGTCCGCCGGCTGCAGGTGGGTTGGGTGCGTTTGGGCCAAGTGGCTGGCACCCACGGCGGGCGTCCGCTGGCACGCCGAGGCAAAGGCAGGCCGTGGCAGTGCAGCCCAACCCCCACCCACCAACTCCTGGCGCTCGTCTCGGGGCCCACCTCTTGATCCTCACAACGGTCTGCCCCGTCTCTTCCTCGAGTCGGATCATAACTACATCCGTCCCTGCTCTGTGTGCTCTGCCAACGTTACGGCCTTTTGTCCCTACCCTCCACCTCGCACCTCGCACCCTCGCACCCTCGCACCCTCGCACCCTCGCACCCTCGCACCCTCGCACCTCGCACCTCGCACCCCTCCTCCGGCGCACCTCGATGGCAGCCACCCGCATCTGGCACGACAAGCTGCAACAGGCCACCGACACCGCCACCCAGGCCACCAAGCTCGAATTCAACCGCGCCTACTCAGAGGCATTCGAGGCCTACGTCCGAGCGGGTCAGCTCTACCTCTGGCTCGTGCGCAACCTCCACGACCGCTCACCGCCGCAAAAGAGCGACTCGGATGCCCACGTCGGCACCAGCAAGGATGGTGCCGCCCTCCTCTCGTCGTCGTTCCGCTCCTCGCTCTCGCTCGAGCTGAGCGATGCAGAGATGCGCGACAGGCTCAAGAGGTCGGCGGCCAAGGTCATGCAGAGGGCCGAAAAGATCAAGAGCGCACGCAACGACGTCCGGCCCGTCGACCGGCACGCCCTCAGCTTCGAGGAACAGTCAAACGCCCTCGCCGCCTCGGCCCGCATCGGTCGCCTCGCCTTTCCGACATGGACCGATCCCGCCGACGACGAGTTTGACGCGGGCCCAGGCATCTACCTCGACTCGGATCCGCAGCCGGCGCTCTCGCCTACCCAGCTCGAGAACCGAGCCAGCTACAGGCGACCGGGCCGGCGGCGCCGAGATCAGGGTGCAGCCGAGGGCGAGGGCAACGGCGGTATCGGTGGGCTCGACGCCGACGGTTTCGGCCGGCCGCTGCGCGGCAGCGACATCGTCCAGGACGTCGTCACCGACTGCAGCTTCGTCGCCGCGCTCGAGGTGGCCGCCGAGCACGACCGCAGGTGGCGCACCCGGCTGGCGACGGCGGCCCTCTTCCCCAAGGATCCCACGGGCTCGATCCGACCCAGCCCAAACGGCAAGTACATGGCCCGTCTGACGATCAACGGGACCGCGAGGCGGGTCACGTTCGACGACAGCCTTCCGTGCTACCCCGACGGGACGCTCATGTGCGCCACGTCGAGGACCGGCCAGCAGACCTGGCCGGCGCTGCTGGAAAAGGCCTACCTCAAAGTCATGGGCGGCTACGACTTCCTGGGCTCCAACTCGTCCATCGACCTCCATGCCCTCACGGGCTGGATACCCGAGCACGTCTTTCTCCGCCACGCCGGCTTCCAGCGCGAGAAGATGTGGTGCCGCATCTCGGAGGCGTGGTCCAAGGGAGAGTGCATGGTCACGACGGGTACGGGCCACTTTGGCGAGCAAGCCTCGCCGGCGTACGAGGGCCTGGTGCCGAGCCACGACTACGCCGTGCTGGCCCTCATCGAGAGGTCCGGGCGGCGCTATGCCCTGCTCATGAACCCGTGGAGCCGGCCCATCGGAAAGCGGCCGGGGCTCGCCGTACCCCTCGACGAGGAGCGTGCCATCCTGGCAGCACAAGCGGGCCACGACGGCCAGACCAGCGACGGTGGCTTCCTCGTGACCTGGGACGACCTCTGCAGCCACTTTGATTCCATCTACCTCAACTGGAACCCGGAACGGTTTCGACACCAGCTCTCGATCCACTCGACCTGGAAGGGGACCGGGGCTACAGCCAACCCGCAGAGCGTCGGGCAGAATCCGCAGTTCCGCCTGTCGCTCGAGCCCGACGAAAAGGCGGGCGCCGGCGCCGGCGCCGGCATCGGCATCGACGCCACGTCGACGACGGACGAGACAGAAGTGTGGCTGCTGCTCGTCCGCCACATTGAGGGCAAGCAGTCTCTGGCTCCCGACGGCGAGGGCAACTACATGGCGCTGCACGTCTTTGAGCACGAGGACCGGCAGCACCGCGTCTACAAGCCGCGCGAGTCGAGGCGGCTCGGCTCGTACGTCGACGGCACCCACAACCTGGTCCGCGTCAAGGCGCGGGCGCCCACCAGCAGCGGCGCCGGCAGCACCGCCTACACCGTCATTGTGTCGCGCCACGGGCCCAGCAGCAACGTCAGCTACTCGCTCTCGGCCTACTCGTCGGCCAGGATGAGCCTGCGCGAGCTGCCCCACGCCCATCCCTACCACGAAAAAGTGTCGGGCTCGTGGTCGGGCCGCTCGGCCGGCGGCAACGTGACGCACCCGACGTTTATGAACAACCCGCAGTACGCCATCACCATCTCGCCGCCGCCATCGTCGTCGTCGTCGTCGTCGTCATCCGCCGCCGCCAAGCCCGCTGTCTTGTGCAGCACAGCCATCGGCACTGGCCCGTTGGTGACCACCTCGGCAGGGCCTTTGACGTCGTCCTCTTCTTCTTCTTCGCCGTCGACGCCGGCCACGGTTGAACGGGGCGGCAGCGCCGAAGCAGCGAAGAGCAGCCTGCTCGTGCTCGTCGAGTCGGCGCGCTCGCTGCCGATCCAGGCGCAGCTGGTGTGGTCGTCGGGCTCGCGCATCTCGCACTGCGTCGAGGGCGACCTGGCGCTGTCGAGCGGCATCTACAGCCACGGCATCGCTGTGGGCGAGAGTACCTCGGTGCAGCCGGGCACGTATACGCTCGTCGTCTCGACGTTCCAGCCGGGCCAGGTCGGGCCGTTTGTGCTCAGCGTCGAATGCTCGACGCCCATCCGGATCCAGCCGATTCCGCAGGAGGGCGCAGGCATGTACGCCCGGACGATCCGGGGTGGCTGGAGCAAGGCGAGGGGTACCGCTGGCGGACCGCCCAGCTCGGGGGCGTACGAGGCCAATCCGCGCTACAGGCTCACAGTGTCGCGGCCGAGCACCTTCCTGGCGCGCCTCAAGACGGTGCCTGTCCAGCAGCGTCTCGACGCTACCGCCACCACCGGGCACAGCGGCGGCGATGGTGACAAGCTTGGTCCAGTCGACGGCGGCGACGAGGCGGGAAGAACAAGTGAGCGTTTCCGTCCCTATATCAATCTCTCCCTCTTTCGCCTTGTCGAGCCGGGTGGCGGTGGTGGCGGGTTGGGGAGGGAGGTGGCGACTAGCGGGCCGTACGTCGACCACGTCTGCGGCACCGCCATCGAAGCGACGCGGATACCCGAGGGCGAGTACGTGCTGGTGGCGAGCACGTACACCAAGGGGTCCGAGGCCGACTTCACCATCGACGTCTATCTCGATCGGCCGATAGAGTTGGTCCAGATCCATGCGTGACCTCGGTGCCCGATGTCCGTCGTAGCCGCGGGGGGTGGGAAATACGAGCTTGTGGGTCGATAGAGGGCCCGTCGAGGTTGACGTCGTGCGTGCGTGCGTGCGTGCGTGCGTGTGTGTGTGTCTCTGGCCGGGGCTGGCGAGGTGGCAAGAGATGGTCACTGAGGACGAGAGGGACGGGCGTACTCGTAATAGTGCGGTCTGTGACGGGGCCAAAGAAGAAAGTAAGAAGATGGAGCTTGTACCGTTCGTCAGGTGCCTTCCTTCATCGGAAGTGCAAAAGGGGGAGCTGGAGACTTACGCCAATTCGGCCAACCAGTCCTGTACCGTCATCGTCGTCGAATGAGGGGTCAGGATCGTGAAGGATGAGCACAACAAGGCACCACAGGGCGGGCGTCGAGACGGATCAGTTGACCCGGAACGGAAACGCCAAGACAGGGCAAGGGGAGGATTAGGCCACGTACCTGTTCGATGGCGGTGAGATCGCGCATGAAGCGTTTGCTCGTCTCTACGACTTCGTGGTAGATGACGAACTTGGTCGATGGCGAACGGTTGAAGAGGACAGAGGAAGGGTGGACGTGTAGGACCTGTATCCTCCGTTCGGTAGGAAGGTGGGTGGATCAGCGTCGGGGCCATGATCTTCGTACGATCCGATCACCTCGAAACCCCAAAGCCGACGAGACGGGGAGATGAGAGGAAGGACAAACTCACCGAACCTTCCCTGACGCTGCGATATGACCCATCGGGCATCATCCTAGCCGCATTCTTAAAGTAGCCGCGGACGAGGCACCTCCGTATCCTCCCCCCGGCATCCTCGTCGGCCAAACAGCTGACGACGGGGAGGTCGAAGCGACGCAGGTACTTTTCAAGCTGCGAGCGCACATTGACGGCGCGCGAGAGGGCCTTGAAGTTGAGCCGGTGCGCGGCGCACCACCGCGCCGACGACTTGCCGATGCGCGGATCGACGAACGCGTTGAAGACGTTGAGCAGCGTCAGGTGGTCGCCCTCTTCGGCGGTGAACTTGCGTCGTTCCACCTCGCCCTCTATCCCGGCCTTCGACCGCCCTTCGTCTGGGATGATGAAGGGGTTCGAGACCGAGGTCATTGCTGCTATACTCAGCATCTCGGCGCTGCAGCGGTGCGATGCCGAGTCGAGGAGCTGTGAGGGGATCGATACGACGGCAGAAGAGGGCAGGGACGCGAGGAAGATCGCGTCAGCTTGATCGAGGCGCTGCGTGGCCGCGACCGACCCTCACTCACAGTCTTGGCCAGCATCGGATCGACCGGCATCTCGGCCATCTGCTCGCCCAGCGGCTTCGTCAGCCTGCCGTGGTCGTCCAGCACCTCGAGGCTGGCGAGGAATTCCAGCGCCTTGGCCATCATCTCGACGGGCGGGGCGGGAGGCAGGAACTCGAACCTGGCCAGATTGTCGATGCCAAGCGCCTTGAGCTGCAGCACCTGCATCGAGATGTCGGACCTGCACATTTCGGGTGGGGTCGCAGCCGGAAGCGTCGACAGCGCCTCTTCGGGAAACAGGCGGTAGCACTTGCCGGCTGACGTGCGCCCCGCTCTGCCCGCCCGCTGCGTCGCCGAGGCGAGCGATTCGGGCACCACAGAGAGCATGTCCATCCCCGTGCGGTGGTTGAACGTGCGCAGCTTGACGAAGCCGCAGTCGACCACGTAGCGTATCCCGTCGATCGTCACGCTCGCCTCGGCAATGTTGGTGGCGACCACGACCTTGCGGCTGCCGCGTGATGCCGGTGCAAAGATGGCCGTCTGCTCCTCAACCGTCAGCCCGGCGTGGAGGGGTAGCAGGTCGAGCCCAAGCGATCCTTGCGGAAGGTTGAGCATCCGATCCGCCAGGTCCTGGAGACACGTGTCGATCTCCTCCCTGCCCGTGAGGAAGACGAGGATGTCGCCTTGCGGTTCCTGGAGGTGGATCTTCATCACCGTGTCGGCGGCGGCGCGCACATAGTCTGAGCATGCCTCGGTGGCGTAGGCAAGCTCGACGGGATGCATCCGACCCTCGAGAGATACGATGGCTGCCGTCTCCTGCTGGCGCTGCTTCTGCTTCTCGACCGTCGAAGGAAGCTCGTCTGGCGAGAAGAAGTCGACGAAGGCCTGGGCGTCGATGGTGGCGCTCGAGATGATGATGCGCAGCTCGGGCCTCTTGCGGTGGATCCTGACGGGACGACGACAGGGGCAGGACGAGCAGAGTCAGCACATGATCCAGGAAGGGGCGGGTTCGAGCGTCGCGGCAGGCTCACTTTTTGAGGATGGCGAGGAGCATGTCGGTGTAGGCGCCCCTCTCGTGGGCCTCGTCGATCATGATGACCGAGTACTTGCTGAGCAGCGGGTCCCGCATGCACTCGCGGAAGAGCATGCCGTCGGTGAGGTACTTTATGCGGGTGCGGGATGGATGGGAGCAGTCCTCGAAGCGGATCGTGTAGCCGACCTCTTCTCCGAGGACGGTGCCGACCTCCTGTGCGACTCTGGCCGCGACCGAGGTGGCTGCGACTCGGCGAGGCTGGGTGCAGGCGATCTGGTGGCCAGATGAGGCCCATCCGGCTTCAAAGAGGAACTGCGGCAGCTCTGCGTGCCAAACGAAGCGGGGAGTGTGGTGCGGAGAGGGGTCGGTCAGCGTGAGAAGGATGTTCCGTCGTGAGAAGAGGGCTTCGGACTCACGGGTCGTCTTTCCACAGCCCGTCTGACCGACGACGACGGTGACGGGGTACCTTTCGACCATGTAGAGGAGGGTGTCCCTCTGCTTGAAGATGGGCAGGTTCTGCCTGGCATCCTGCACGCCCAGTCCGGCATTTTCCGTCGCGATCGAGGACGAGAGTGAGGGGTCAAAGGAGCCTTCGCTCTCGGTGGAGCGGTCGACGGAGCTGCCTGTTGCGAGGCGGGTGGGAGGGTGCGAGAGGCGATGTGAGTGAGGCTAGGTGAGATGGCGAGGCACAGGGGCGAGTCGGCGGCTTACCTGGCCTGACTGTTCCTGGCTTCCAGAAGGCCATGGTGGCGAGGAACAAGGGGCGATGAGGCAGACTGCCTTGGGGAGATGGAAGAAGGGGGGGGATTGGTATTGGTCGTGGTTGCGAGGGCCGGTTGGAAGTGCTGTGCCGGGCTGGGCAGGGCTGGCGGCGCTCGGCCCCAAAAAAGTCCCCTGGAAAGTGGAGCCAAATGCACGCGTGCGCCTCTCTCTCTCTGACGCAACCTGTGGCCCGCTGGACCCTAACAGATGGCCAAGCGGGCCAGCCAGCCAGCCAGCCAGACCAACACCACCTGCCTGCCTGTCTGCCGATGCTGCTGCACCAGTCACCACTCACCACCACCCAACACCCACCACCACCTTGTGCGGCCCATACCACCGTGCGCGCGCACACACGCGCTCAACCACACACCATGGCGCCCCTGCTCAAGGACTACCTCGCCCGCCACCCATCTTTCCAGGACCCCTCGTCTTCCAGCTCACCCCTCCCCTCGCTCTACTCGGACCTCTCGAGGCAGCGACGCTCCAACCCGGCTGGCTTCAGGGCCAACGTCGAGTGGTGGAAACACATCCTCACACAGGTCGCCTGGGACGGCGTACAGCAGTCCAACGCACTCGCGTCTTCCAAGGACGATGTCGAGAAGCTAGACTCGCACCAGGCTGCGGGCCGAAGCGCCGGTGCATCCCAGGACAGGCTCGTCCTGCACCTCAACGAAACCACAAAGACCGCCTGGTCCATAGACCACGTCGGAAGGCCACTCGGACTGGGAACCGTCGTGGTGAGGATCAGCCATTTGCGGTCACCCGCCTGGTCGTACGCCGCCCGCTGACTGCTGACTTCTCGATACCACCCTTGAATCTTGCCCTATATGCCTTCGCCGCCCCCCCCCGCCTGTCATGCAGGCCGAACTGCAGAGCACCTCGGACGTCGTCTCACTAGCAACATTCTTGCGATCCACCAAGCCGATCCACGGCCCCTCTCACTCATCGGGCTTCAAGTCGTACGTACCCTCGGCAGGTACCGTGGCATCGACGCTGCTCGTCGCCCCCTTTACCTGGGCCTTTTCCCAGATCGGCATCGGCGGGTCCGGCGACGACGACGACGACGGCGGAAGCCAGGACGACAAGCTCTGGAAGACGCACAGGGGAGACTGGGTCATCTGGGCCAACCTCGAGGTGAGCAGCGCAAGAGTAGCGTCGTCCGAGCAGCCAGCCTACCGGCTGACTCCTTCCCCGTCGGCACCCAACAGAAAGTCACCGACGCATTCCTCCAAGAGCACTATGCCAGCGCGTCCCTCTCCCCGCTAGACTCTCTCTTTTCGACGGCCAAGTTCAAAGACAAGCTCGCGAAGCTCAAGCTTGAAGTCGGCTCGGGTGGAGCGCCCTTCCAGCTGAGCGAGATGGATGTACAGGTCGTCATTAAGCATCTGGTCCGGGATCGCAAGGTGGCCGTCATGGACAAGGGCGTAAGTGGCTGCACATTTCCGGCCTTGCGTCGCCGAGTTAGTCTGCCGCTGACGAGCCCCACGCTCTCATCGCGCCTTTCCCCTGCCACTTCGCAGATCGTCAAGCTGTCGCCGCGCGAGCACGAGCCGCCGACGCCCATCAGCGAGCAGGATATCGGCATCCTCCAGATCGCCGACACGAGCGCTAAGCTCGAGATGCAGATCGCCGAGATTGAAAAGAAGATCGCGGAGCGCAACGACAAGATCAAGGCAGCGCTGCAGGCGAAACAAAAGGGCCAGGCGCTCTCCTACCTGCGCTCACGCAAGACGCTCGAGGACCTGCTGAACAAGCGCATGGGGTCGCTCGAAACCATCAGCGGCGTCCTCATCAAAGTTGAGCAGGCCGCGGGAGATGTCGAGGTGGGTAACGGCACGCGCAGCGCAGCGCCACGTCCAGCAAGCGAGGTTATTGCGCCCTTGACTGACCACGTTGCTCCATGCGCTCATGCCAACGCACGCACAGATCATGCAAGCCTACGAGACGTCGGCGTCGACGCTCAAGTCGCTCATGGCCCACCCTTCGCTGCAGCACGAGCGGGTCGACGAGACCATGGCGGCGCTTTCAGACACGCTGGCCGACCACGCCGAGATCGAGCAGGCCATCCAGCTGGGCGGGGAGAGCGCACGTGCCGCGGCGGGCGTCGAGGAGGTCGAAGATGCGGAGCTCGAGCAGGAGATGGAGATGCTGGCGCGGGAAAAGGAGCGCGAGGAGAGGGAAGAGGAGGAGAGGAGGAAGAAGGAGGAGGAGGAGAGGAGGAAGGCAGAGGCCGAGGCGGAGAGGAAGAGGGCGAGGGAGGAGGAGGCCGAGAAGAGGAGGCGGGCGGAGAAGGAGAGGTTCGAGGAGGAGAGGAGGAGGAAGGAGGAGCGCGAGAGGGAGCTCAAGGAGCGTGCCGCGCAGCGCCAGCCCGACGAGTCCACGGTCAAGGAGGGCGGCGATGCCACCCCGGCCCCCGTCGTCGACAAAGAGACCAGGCAGGCCGTCGCTGAAGAATGATCGAGTCGACGGCCTGAGGAGGCGTCTCCGCCATCCCGTTACGATACCACCACCGTCAGCGTTGACTCGAAACATCAGACGTTCACCTCGACCTCTTCATCACCACGGCCGGGCAGCCACGATCCAGCATCGATACCAAGATACGGGACGACCGCCGGCCATCGACGGGCGGAACACCATCAGACAGTGTGCAGCGCGGCATGCACGCGTATGAGAGAGAGTTTTTAGATTTTGGTCGCAGCGTTTGCAGGCTGTGTGTGTGTGTGTGGGTGGCGGGGAGGGTGGGCGTGTAGTACATGCGAGCCGGAGATGCCGGAGGAGCCTAGCGATGGAGACGACGACGAAAGAGGCCTAGGTTGCGGTAGTGGCCGGCCATGATCGCGCGAGGCATGAGATGCGATGCGATGGGATCGGAGGGGAAAGGTTGCTGTTTCGTGGAGTCTGACACGCTTAGTTCTTGCCGTCACCCTGGGCGTTCATGCGGCGCTTGCCACCGGGTCCGAGGACGACGTTGACGAAGCTAAGGTGGTGTGGTGGGCAAGGAAAGAAGGACGGGACGGGTCAGTATGAATGGCTCATCCCGTTCGGGGTCGGGGTCGGGTTTGTCCGGCTCTCAATCTTCCTCCCCTGATCGTGTGCGACCGGCCATACGCGATCCAGCTCGCGGATGCGACAGCGCACGCCGCAAAGAAGTGCCACCATTCAACTCCTTAACTCGGAACCGCCGCCAGGTGGTGAACGATCCCACGCCGCTCTTGATGTTCCTCCAGTGCCAGGTGCGGCTGAGCCGAGCCGATCCTTGTCCATGTCTCGTGCCCGTCGTCCAGCGACTTGATCCCCTCAAAGATGTCGACATGCCACCTCCCTGTCCGATCCAACGGCTTCGAGGACCGTCGAATACTCACCGGCGGTTGTATAGGAGACGCTTCTTGGCGCGGCCCTTGGGCTGCTTCGGCTTCTCCTGCTTCTCAAGCTTAGGAGTCTGCGACTTGACCTTACCGGCACGAGCGAGGGAACCGTGGACCTTACCCATTTTGAGTTATGTGTTCGAGGTCTGTGTGTACGATAGGTAGGTCGGGTGGCGTGACAGAGCGCGAAGGACGGAGGCGGGCGAGGATGGCGATGGTGGCGAGAGACGAGGTGGCGGTGGTGATGATGGCGGTGGTAAGGGTCGGAGACGAGAGGAGAGGAGATCAACTTGGTCAGCCCGGACGGGTCCATTTACGAGATTGAAGAGACTTCACCTAGACGCCATCGAGCCCCGCCGCCGTGTGCCGAGCCGGTCCTCCTTCGAACTTCAAAGGCCCGCTCCGTTGGTCGGTCCTCCATAAGTCCCCATACGAAATGCCGCATGGGTCGAGAGGCTCCACAAGGAGCCGTCTGACTGCATGCAACAAACAGCGTCTCCCCTCCTGCGCCGCTCGTTTTCCAAGAAACGACCGTGGTGTCGCATTTGCCACCCCTCCTCCTTAGGGCGGTGGTCGGGCGCAGGATTCGTGATGCAGCTGTGGCGACATGGCGGCGGTCGGAGGCGAGGCGGTACGGACCCGGACGTCGATCTGAACAGAGGCGAGCGGCTGAAGCTGTATGGCGTCGATGGCGTCGGTATGTCGATGCTCACGTTGTGAAGAACCTTGAAGATGTGGTGTGGTAGAGGGGGCTTGATGGTGAGGGGGCAAAACGACGACCACCGCCGCTGCCCGCGCCGCCCCCCGCCGCGCGCTCCGGCGCCGAGCCCGCCATGGCCCTGACCTCGCTCGCCCACCCACTCACTCGCACGCTCTGGCTTGGCCATCAAGCTTGGTCAGAGCCAGGCCAGCCAGCCCGCCAGCTCAAGGCCGCGGCACGCAGGCTTGAACCCGCATGCCTGCATCTGGGCCGATGACCAGGGTCGACCCCGCCTGCCCAGCTTCGTGCGCGCACGCCTCCGATCCAAATTTCGAAAATTGCGCGGCTCCGAAAGTTGCAAACAGCGTGGGAATCTTAGATTCTGCCTGGCCAGGGCCCCTCCACGTGCTGGCCTCAGGGCGAAGGAAGCCAGAAGCCAGTCCAAGCTGGCTCCGCGGGCCAACGACGGCGACGCCAGGGCCAGCGGGCGGGATACCGGTTGGCACGGCCGGCTCTTGACGATCCTGCCGCTGTACCACACCCGTCACCCTACGCCGTCAAGACAGTGAGTAGCGACGACCTTAGACATCGCCAGCAGCCGACGCACCGCCAGCAGTAGCACCAGCAGCACCGCCGCCGTACGTTACCGCATCGCCGGCCTCCGCACCAGCACCCACATCGACATCAGCGGCCGTTCGGAACTTTCGCGGGAGCGTCGAAAGAATGGAGGACGAACGCCGACGGAAGGGTCACTCACCTTAGGAGAAGGAGACTCGGGCTGAAGAGGAGTAGCTTTAGGCCGAGCGACAGGACCCAGCAAACTGCGGATCGAGCGGCGACGACAGGCGAAGACGAGGCGACTGCTGCCGGTGCTGCTGGCTGCGCGTTCGAACCGGTTGCTGGCGTTGGCTCTCGACGTTGGTCTGGCTCGCTCACCGACCGCAATCTAACATCTTGTTTTGCGCACCTGTTCTTCCCGACCGTCACCCCCTCTCTCCGCCCACTGCGCCCCGCACCGACAGCCTACCTCGCCCATCATGATCATTTCCAAGGAGAACCGCCGCACCATCTACTCGTCCCTCTTCAAGGAGGGCGTCATGGTTGCCCCCAAGAACTACGAGGTCAAGCACCCCGAGCTCGACCTGCCCAACCTCGAGGTTGTCAAGGCCATGCAGAGCCTTACCTCCAAGGGCTACGTCCACACCCAGTTCTCGTGGCAGTGGTACTTCTACACCCTCACTGACGAGGTGCGTGTCCGGCTGGCTATTCCGCCCCTCTCGGAGCTTCCTAGCGATCGACGCCAATGACGCTGACCGATGGTTCCTCTCGTCATTTGCTCCGTCCTCCCCCGCCCCAACAGGGTCTCGAGTACCTCCGCGAGTTCCTCCACCTCCCCGCCGAGATTGTCCCGGCCACCCACAAGCGCCCCGCCCGCCCTGCTCGTGCCCCCATCGGTCGCGAGGGTGGTGCTTACCGCGCTCCCCGTGGTGACCGCGAGGGCGGTGACCGCGAGTACCGCCGCCGCGACGGTGGTGACGACAAGAAGGAGGGCGCTGCCCCCTCCGGCTACCGCCCCCGCTACACCGGCGTTGGCCGTGGCGCTCCCCGCGAGTAAACGCTGCAGCAGCACCCGATGATCAGGATGGACGAGTTAGTAGCGTTGGTCGGCGGATGAGCGACGGCGCTTGACGGCCACATCGATGGACGCTTCGGATGCTCGATCTCGACGTCGATCTGGTCGTCAAGGCTTTTGGACTCGGCCCTTCAATCTCGACCACCTCGTTCTGCGACTTTGGCCTCCCTTCGACTCTTGTTCTGCCATGCCTCTCAAGAGACGGAACAAGGCCGGACGTCGCCGGACACCCAAAACAACCACCAATTGAGGAAGTCTGGACGGCCACTACCTCCCCTGTACTCTATGACCCTCACTCTTCCCGTCAAAACGAGCTTGGGACGCTCGGGTTCGGTTCCCTTTCCTTCCCTCACCTCTGACCCGTCCTGGCGGGTCGAGGTGAGTGGAGGAAGGATGCGTTCGCCGCTCCCCTCTCTCTCTCGCAAAAGATACGTATGTCATCATCTAAGACGGAGAGACGGACTGGCTGCTCCGGCTCTCGTCGGCCCAGCCTCCTCCGCCGCCACCGCCGCTACGGTCCTCGCGCCTCGCCACCACCTTCCCCCACATCCTCATCATCCACCCCTTCCATAGGACGCAGTCAGCACGAACTCTATCAGGAGTACGTCGGGCAGGAGCTCTTAGCTGTTGCGTGTACCTCTTCTTCCCCTTTGTGGTATTCTTCGCATCTGCAACATGTCCTGCACACCCTCCATGCTCTTCTTTGGTGCCGTGCGTCGCTGCGAGAGCCCGGGGTGCTCTGCTTGGCTCCGTCCGACGCCACGGCCAGGCTTTTGAGGGTCGGACAGCTGGCTGTGTGTCTCGGCTCGCCGGTACCGAACCGTGTTCTCCTACGAGGAAGCAGTCATCACCTCGGTCGTGGGCGGCCGGGGGCCAAACTCGCCACATCCGCTCACAAATCCTTCTCCCATCGGTGCACAGCTCAAGCTCCACGAAGTTCTGATTTGCGTCCGTTGCCAAGGGATGGACGATGCGATAAAGATTGTTCCTTGCCCCCTGAACACTTCAGTCCTTGCCCTTTCGGGCAGCGGTACCGCCGAGATCGGTCCTGCTGGGAGTCTTCTGCTGCTGCTTGGACGGTCTGGCGTCGCTGGCGTGGTGCGCCTTCGTGGCCGCCTCGGACGTCTCGGGGTTGTTGGCCGACGTGCTGAAATCGGCCTTGTTCTGGAGTCGAAACGCAAGAGCCGCGTAGGGCAAGGCAGTATGGACATCGAGTCAGCTCGTAGGGGGCCATGGAACGAGAGAGGAAGGCGGGCCCACGCTTGCTCACCTCGGACTCGATCTTTGACGTCGCTGCGTCTGGGTTGGTCTTGTCGCCGTCGTAGGCTCCCGACGAGTTGGCAATGTCCTCGGTCTGCGCGGCGTACCAGTCGGAGCGTCATGACGATGTCAGCGGGCAGGACAAGAGAGAGGGAGAGGGAGGCAATGGAGACCACAGCGACGACTCACGCCTCCGCCACCGGGTACGGTAGCCTCGCTGTCGGAACCAGGCTTGACAGCCGAAGACCTCGATGCGGACGCGGCAAACGTCCTCGCCGACCCGCGGGCGCTGCGGACGACGACGTGTCGGTTGGTCTGGAAGAGTGCGTTCAACATTGTGGCTGTGAGGTCGATGTTCCTCGAGAAGCTGTATGTGTGCGTGTGTGTGAGAGATGGGAGAGCGGAGGGACGATGGAGAGATGCTGAGGAGGCCTACACTCGACGCTAAGGCTGGGGTCGCCAGGGCGCGGTGCTCGGCCTGGGCCAGATGGACCCTGGGCCAGATAGGCCAGGCCAGGCCAGGCGAGGCCAGGGTGACGTATTCCATCAGTCACTAGCAGACCGACGCCGGCCTCCACCCCGGCAGCCGGCGAGCCATCGCCGATTCAACTTTTGCAAATTTGGATCAGGTTGCCCGATGGAAAAACCCCGATCTAGAGACACCCTGGTGTGTGCCTGAGGCGCAGCCGGCCCCGTTGCAGTAGTCTGGCAAGCCGCACCCGTCCACGCCGCCGCCCTGAACACCGAGGCGCGTGCGCACCTCGACGTACTTCTCTTTGGCTCTCTCGCTCGTCCCCCTTCGCTTGCTTTCCTTCCTGCCATCGATCTCATCCTTCGCCGCATCCCAGGACGCACACCTCAGAGTGTTCCTCTCGCTCCCTCCTCTCTGTCGACCACCACCCACCCACTACCTCGCCGTCCGCAGAAGCCATACTCGACGGTCGCGCATCCTTGCGCTCGTACCCTCGTCGCGACACAAAGCAACCCCTCCCCTGCCATCTCTCATATCGACCCAATCCTCTTCCCGCTCGTGGCACAACCGACAAGCATGCACGCACCAAAACTCTCAAGCGCATTGGGGAGCACGCTCCTGCTGCTCCTCATCCTCCTCATCTCGTTCACACACCCAAGCAGCGCATCGCCACACAAGCTGGCACCACGCGGACCCATGCCGGACCCCTCGCTGCCCTACCAGTACTTTATGATGGGCGAGATGAGCGCCACGGCGGTATGCTGGCTGACGGCACAGCCGTTCCGGCACAACTCGGCCCAATACCCCAACCTCGACTGCAAGATCTCGTCGGCCATCTCCCAGCTCCCCGATCGTCAGACCTGGCAGTGTACCGGGGACCGAGACGCGTTCTGCAAGGAATGCTTCAGGGTCCGCGACGAGATGGATGCCGTTCATCGCGGCAAGTATAGGCAGCAGGGTTGCGATTGAGCGTCGCGGCTCGATGCTTCGTTCAGCGATGGCGGCATGGTGGTGATGGTGGACTCGAGGGATGGCGGTGGATATGGACAGCAAGGCATGGCACGTCATGGCTTAGCAAGGCTTTCCGACCCGATGACGACCTCCAACGGTAATGGTATGCATACCTGGCCGATTCTGGCACATTCTCATACAAACTTGCTCCCTTGCAGTCTGTGCGTCGTGTCCAGCATCCGGCTCGTTGTACAGGCTCAGTCCAGGACCGCACCCAGCCTCACCTCGCCGCCAGAACAGCTACCTCGCACCTGCTCCGCCTCCGCTCGCCATCGGCTGCGCTCACCCGCTCCATCGCTCCGCCTAGGCTTATACCCTCACACTCGACAGACTCTAGACGTCGACTCAAAACTCGTTTGGCAACGTCATCACGATGCAGGTTTGAAAATAGGGGGGTGCGCGTGGGCACATGGGCAACAACAAACTCTAACGCGACAGGCGATGCAGTGGCGGTGGTGCTCTCCGTCAAATGCGGGCATGAGGTCAGTCGCAGTGTAGCAAAGACGCCGCCGCTCCTTCGCTTGACAGGCGGACTTCATGCGCAGAGAGAGAGAGAGAGAGGGAGATGGAGGGAGCGATGGGTCGACAGGGGGACGCGCGTCATTTGATCGAGGACGACGGCTCACTGCCTCTTCTTTTCGGCCTCGACGGCGTCGCTGGGCCGAGTGGCGTAGAGGCGAGTGACAAACTTGCACGCCTGCGAAGCGGAGCGTACACGCGAACAAGGGAGAGACGAGTGAGGGGGAAGTCAGCGACCGGTCCAGGGTGAAGAGAGACGCGACACGATGGCAACGCCACGTACCTCTTCGATAAAGATGACGGGGAGCGAGATGTAGATGACCGCCTTGACCTCGGTCCAGCTGAGCGACGTCACCTGGAACCAGTCCTGGAGCATGGGGATCTGCAGCGGCGCGGCGCGAGGAGGTGAGGACAGGGCTGCAAGTCAGCATGCGGAACACGGACGGGAGAGGGAGGCCACCGCACGCACGAGCGCCGTCGCGGCAGTACTCACGGTGCAGATGGCGTAGTGCAGGACGAGCGAGAGGATGATGGCGGCAATCAGCAGCGGGTTGCTCGCCGGGCCCATGGTCAGCAGCGAGTCGGTCTCGGAAATGGCGTTGAGCGCATTGAACATCTCGACGACGACGAGGACGCTGAGGGCAATCGTGGCGGGCGCGCGGCTGGCCGAAAAGATCTCGCAGCCGACGTCCGGGAAGAGGGTGGGGTCGGCGCACTTGTGGAAGTTGCTCAGCTGCCTGTACGAGATCTGCGGGCCGCCCTCGAAGAACATGAACCACCAAGCGTAGCCAAAGATGGTGGCGGCGCCGACAAAGGCGCCGACGATCATGTAGCGGGCGAAAATGTAGCCGCTGATGAGCGGGTCGTTGCGGCTGCGCGGGCGCTCCTTCATGATGGTGGTGCTGGGAGGGTTGAAGCCGAGCGCGGTGGCGGGCAGGCCGTCGGTGACCAGGTTGACCCACAGCAGCTGGACGGGGATCAGCGCCTCGGGAAGGCCGAGGAGCACGGTGAGGAAGATCGAGACAACCTCGCCGATGTTGGACGAGATGAGGTAGCGGATGAAGCTCTGGGTGTTGTTGTAGATCGAGCGTCCCTCCTCGACGGCCGTCTCGATGGTGGCAAAGTTGTCGTCGGCCAGCACCATGTCGGCGGCGAGCTTGGCGACGTCGGTGCCGCTGCCCATGGCGATGCCAATGTCGGCGCGCTTGAGGGCGGGCGCATCGTTGACGCCGTCTCCGGTCATGGCGACGACCAGTCCGTGGCCCTGGAGCAGGTCGACCAGCTGGCTCTTGTGGGTGGGCTCGGTGCGCGAGAAGAGGCTCGCCTGGAGAACGGCGCGCTTCTTTTCGGCGTCGCTCAGCTCGTCGAACTCGCGCCCGGTGAAGCTCTTACCGACGAGGTCCTCGTCGGGCCCAAAGACGCCGATCCGGCGGCAGATGGTCTCGGCCGTGTTCTTGTTGTCGCCGGTGATGACAATGACGCGGATGCCGGCCTCGCGGCAACGGGCGATGGCGCCGCGCACCTCGGGGCGGGGAGGGTCGAGCATGCCGACGAGGCCGACGAGGGTCAGGTTCTGCTCGAAGCGCACGTAGTCGGCGGGGCTCGAGGAGCGGTACGACTCAATGTCCAGCGGCACGTCCTCCTTGACAGCGAGGGCGAGGGTGCGAAGACCGAGGCGGCCGTACTCGAGCGTCTTCTCGTGGACCAGCTGGCGCACGTCCGCAGACAGCGAGACAGTCTCCTTTCCGCTGAGCACCTTGTCGCAGCGGTCGACGACGCTCTCGGGGGCGCCCTTGACGAGCAGGCTCCCAGTGGCGCTGGACCGTCGGATCAGGGTCGACATCGACTTGCGGTCGCGCGAAAACTCAAAAGTCAGCAGGCGCGGGTGGGCCTTGCCGTACTCGTCCGACACGGCCGAGACGCGGGCGTGCTTGTCCATGACCGAGAGGTGCGTGTTGACTGAGCTGTCGTGGTGGCCGAGCTTCTCGACGAGCACCTTGAGCGCGGCCTCGGTGGGCTGTCCGAGCGCGGCGTAGTTGCCGTGGTCGTCGAGTGAGACGCGCGAGTCGTTGCAGAGCGAGCAGACCTCGGCGAGGGCGTGGAACGACGTGCCGGCCTGGTTGAGCGAGGTGACCTCCTTGCCGTCGGCGCCGAGGATCTTTCCGTGAGGCGCAAAGGTGGAGCCCTCGACGGTGAAGTCGGACAGGCTCGACGGGCCCTCGAAGGTGGCGAAGCGGGTGACGCTCATCTGGTTGGTGGTGAGAGTGCCGGTCTTGTCGGAGCAGATGACGTTGGTGGAGCCGAGCGTCTCGACCGAGGGGAGGTGGCGGACGATGGCGTTCTTCTTGGCCATCTTTTTGGTGCCGAGGGCGAGGCAGGCGGTGATGACGGCGGCCAGTCCCTCGGGGATGGCGGCGACGGCGAGGGCGACGGCGATCTTGAAGTAGTAGACTGCGCCCTTGACCCAGCCGTGGTGCGAGGGGTCGTTGAAGTGGCGGATGTTGATGAGCCAGACGAGGATGCAGATGACGGTGATGACCTTGGCGAGCTGCTCGCCAAACTCGTCGAGCTTCTGCTTGAGCGGCGTCTTTTCGTCGTCGTCCTTGCTGATCTCGGCGTGGATGTCGCCGATGGCCGTCTTGGAGCCGGTGAGGACGGCGACGGCGATGGCGGTGCCGTTGGCGACCGTGGTGCCGCTAAAGAGGATGTTGGTCATGTCCTGCTTGACGGCGCGGGCGTCGGCGACGGGCTCGAGGCTCTTGTTAACGCTGAGCGACTCTCCGGTGAGGATGGCCTGGTCGATGCGGAAGCTGCTCGAGTTGATGGCAATCAGGCGGCAGTCGGCGGGGATCTTGTCGCCGACGGTGAGGATGAGGACGTCGCCGGGGACAATGTCCTCGGAGCGGATGCGGGCAGTCTGGGCCTCGCGGATGACCGAGGCCGTGTCGGGCGAGTACTCCTTGAGGGCGTCGATGGCCTTGTCGGCGTTGCGCTCCTGGATGACGCCGACGGTGGCGTTGGCGATGAGGATGAGGAAGATGACGCCGGGCTCGATGAGGGCGGCGCCGAGGGTCTGGTTCTCCTCGAGGAGGGCGAGGACAAACGAGATGACGGCAGAGGCGAGAAGGATGAGGACGAGCTGATCCTTGAACTGCTCGAGGATCAACTGCCACAGGGGCGTGGGGGGCTGTTCGGGCAAGGTGTTGGGGCCGTACTGCTCCCTGCGCTTCTCGACTTCGGCGGCCGAGAGACCCTTTGAAGGGTCGACCTGGAGCTTGTGGAGCACATCGCGGATTGAGTAGGTCCAGGCTGCGTCCATGATGGGCGGTGGTGCTGGGGGTTGGACGAGCAAATGGCGAGTTCCTGACGGGATACCTGGCTGTCTGAGACGAGCTCAAACGGGAAGAGAATGAGCAGGCGGGTGCGTGAGGGTCGTTCCAGCGACAGTGGTGGTGAGTTCCAGAGGAGTGGGGCGACCGAGGCAGCGCTCTAACGGTTTCGTAGCGAGGCGTTTCGACTCTGTGGACCGGACAGAGCGAGGGGCGGTGGAGGACGGGCCAAGGGAGAAGTCGGGGAACCTGCTCGCTTGATTGACGTCTTGGCGTTCGTCGTCGTCGTCGTCGTCGTCGTCGATGTGGGTGTCGATTGTGACGGTGATACTGGTGGCGGTGGTGGTGGGGACGAGGAAGCCAAAGGTTGGTGCAGCAGCAGACGAGGGAGAGGCTGCAGCCGCTGCGCCCCGCCCCGTGCGCCAACGAGGGCCGCCGTAACGTCCGACCGTCCGTGTTGGCTTCGAGTCCTCGCTGGCAGGCGCGCATGGAAGGGCACAGACCGACGGACCGAAAACTTTGGGTTGTGCGGGGGGGCCCAACAGCAGACCGAGAGGAAGAGGGAGCCACGCCGCCTTTGCCCCGTCGACGTGGCAACCTGCCAGAGAGCCCAGCCTGCGCTAGAAAACTCCACCTGGCCTGGCCTCACCGCCCCGTTTTCTTCGTGGACCGCGTGGACCCGCCAACCAACCTGGCCGCCTGCCTGCCTTCCTTCCTTGCTGGCGGCAGCGCTCCTTTTTCGGATGCGAGCGTCAGCTTTGCAATTTTCGGTTCCGAGGCGGGCCCACCGAGAATCCGACTCAGGGTCGGGTCGGGCAGGGCAGCCGGGCCTTTTCTTGCAATCTTCCAACCAGACACCCCACCGCCCATACCGGACATTATCGGCGACGACGACGACGACGACGACGACGACGACGACGACGGCCACCGACACCACCATCAGCAGCAGTCGTTTGGAGCGGGTAGCAAGCAGCATCGCCAGCGACAACACCGACCTTTGATCGCCTCTGAACCACACCCTGCGGCATGTTTGGCGCATTCCGACCCTCGATGCCCTCCATGGGCGGTCTGCTCTGGTAAGCACCGTCCTCGTCTTTGCCAGACCATCTCGCCCCGCTTCCCATCTCAATGGCTAACCTTCCTTCTGAACACCTCTTGCTATCTCTCGCTCGATGACCGTGCAAACAGGAAGAACCCGTGGCGCCTCTCGCCGACGCGAAAGATGCGGGTGCGACAGCGCCTCAAGAACGTCGACGAGGTCATCGCCACCATCCAGCAGAGCGGCGTCGAGTGCGGCGCCCTCACCCGCGCACTCGCACTGCCAAAGGAGAGCGAGATGCTCCCAAAGGACAAGTACACCACCTTTAGCAAAAACGACCGCGGCTTCAGGAAGAGCGTGCACAAGGTCAGTCCGTCGTCCCCCCTCCTGCTGCTACTGCTGCCTGCCATCGTGGCTGATCCTCTTGATCTCCCCCTTCTCCCTCTCACCCCCTCACTTGACAACCTTTTTTGCCATCTGCAGGTGCCCAAATGGACCAGGCTTACACTACGCGAGAACCCCGTCGGCTACTAGGTTCTTCATCGTGCCATCCCTCTCCATTGTCCTCTGGCCACCCAACCCCCTCTCCGTTCCCTCGCATCTCCCGTGTACAATACCATCATTCAGACTCGTCCCCGCAGCGCAACAGCGTCACTGCCGCATCTCACCTCCCCGCCCTTCTCGCGCTCGTTCGACTAGCACGCCACACGGGCCAGCGTCGCCGCTGCGATCGACAAAAAGTACAACGGCGGTCTCGATTGCAAAATGCTGGTGACGGTATGGACGATGCTAGATGGATGGAACGGGACACAGGACTGGATGCGGCAGACGGCGAGGCGACTGAGCGGCGACGAGCCGCGCCACGACCTAGTGGCTGCAGTACTGGAAGACAAACGAGACGTCGTCGTGGTTGGTCTCGGCGCGCAGCAGGTCGTCGTGCAGCTGGTGCATCTGGTCCTTGGGGTAATGGTTCCACGTGCTCGTGTCGCCGTACAGCAGCGCCGGCGCCTTGATCCACTGCCGCCCTTCCTTGCACCTCTTGCACTTGTACGTGTCGTGCGTGTCGCAAAGCGTATTCTCCTTGAACTGGAACAGCGCCCGCAGGTCCTCGCCCGAAAAGTGGCGCGCCGCGTCCTGCGCCTCGTCGACGACGCACGAAGAGAGCGACTGCTTGTGCGACTGCCTGCGGGGGGTTCGGGAGTGAAAAGAGAGCGATGAAGAGAGCATTAGCGCCAAGCACCAGCAGCAGCCCGGCGCGTGCCCCGGCCAACTCACCTCTGCAGGATCTTCTCCTCGATGGAACCGGTGGCGATGAAGCGGTAGACGAAGCCTGTCAGCAGCGGTGGGGCAAGGGGCAAGCAGTCAGCATCGTCGGCGTCGGATTTCCTGTCCATCGCCGGTGCGGCGCGAGCCGAGAGCACCTCGGGCGGACTGACGACAACTCACAATCCTTCTTCTGCCCGTCTCGCCACACACGGGCGAGCGCCTGCTGATCCGACGCCGGGTTCCAGTCCGGGTCGAAGAGGACGAGGCGGTTGGCGCCGATGAGGTTGAGGCCGCACCCTCCGGCCTTGGAGCTGAGCAGGAAGATGAACTCCTTGCCCTCGGGGTCGTTGAACTTGTCGACGAGCTTCTGGCGCTTGTTGACCGTCATGGTGCCGTCGAGGCGGAAGTTGCCCCAGCGGTTGGCGCGGCACATGCGCTCGAAGACATCGAGCGTCTGCGTGTAGTTGGAGATGAGCACAATCTTGTCGTTGGTGGTGGCACGGATCGTCTCGAGGAAGCGCTGCAGCACCATCATCTTGCCCGACAGCTCCGGATACACCTGGCGGCGGTCGCGTGGCGTGTAGCCCTCGGGGAAGAACTCTTTGCTGCCGTCAAGGTCGTGCGGCAGGTCGAGCAGGTCCGGGTGGTTGCACAGCTTCTTGAGGATGCCAATCGCCTTGAGCGGCTGCGAGCCCGTGCCGCGCAGCAGCTTCTTGATCTCGGGCGAGCGGATAAAGAGGCGGTAGAGGTCCAGCTGGAACGAAGACATCTTGCAGAAGACGACGTGCTCGTACTTGACCGGCACTGCAGCGCGAAGAAGCAGATACCAGCGCAACGGGCCAGGAGGAGGCGGTCAGTCAGCAACCCTGCGGACAGGCGTCGACGGTGCGTGCGTCGCGGCAGAGGCAGAGACTCACGATACTTGGACAGCAAGTCGTTGGTGCGGCGGATGATGAACTTGCTGACCAGGGCCGAGAGCTGCGCCAGCTTCTCGTTGCCCTCCTGCTGCTGCTTCTCCGTGGCGTCGGCATCGCGCCCCTTGAGGATGGCCAGCTCGAAGTTCTTGCGGAACTCTGTCTTGGAGCCGAGCAGCTCCGGGTTGGCAAAGTTGAGCAGCGCAAAGTACTCGGACAGGTCGTTCTGCGCAGGTGATCAGACGAGGCGAGCGGCGCGTTCCTGTCAGGGCCTTATTGTGACCGGCGTCACGGCACGGCAGCTTCTCGGCATGAGACTCACCTGGATTGGCGTGCCGGACAGAATGACACGGCGACGGACCTTGATTTGGTTGAGGGCCTGGAACGTGAGTGACTCTGTGGGACCGAAGGTGAAGCAGGACACCGAATGAGCTCGCCTGTCGATAATAATGCCTTGCCATCAGCAGGAGGCTGAAGCTGCGAGACTTACCTGCGTTCTTGAGCCGATGACCCTCGTCACAGAGGAGCAGGCCTACTTCGGTGTTGCCCAGCTCCTCCTGCAGGTTCCTCAGCGTCTCGTAGGACACGATCATGACTGCGACGAGGCGGGCCGCACGCGATAGCAGCAAAACAAAGGTCAGCGCCACGAACTTGGCCGCAAATCGAGCCATCAAGACTGCCACGACTCACCAGGCTGCGTGACCGAACGACCCGAAGCACTGCACCACCTGCGGACCGCCTCGATCATCTCCTCCTTGCTGAGCTTGCCATCGAGGGCAAACGTGCCAGGCGCGGCAGCACCGAGCCACTTGACTGTGGGCCGGGTGTGATAGGGACGGGAACGAGACGTCAGCCTGGCGCGATTAGCCACAACAGAAACGGGCCAGGAAGGACGTACCCAGCTCATTTGCCCAGTTGCGGACCAGCGACGACGGACACGCGATGATGCACTTATCGATTGTCGACTTGCCCGGCTTCGGAGACTGCTTAAGCAGCGTCCACATGAGCGCAATGCACTGCAGCGTCTTTCCGAGACCCATCTCGTCGGCCATAATACAGCTACTCGAGAGAAATGGGCGGAGTGGGGTCGTCAGCACACGGCCGTAAGTTGGGAGGCGAGGCTGGCGGAGGCCGAGCGAGACTCACCCAAAAGCGTTGTCGACGATGAGGCCGGTCGTGCATCGGTAGAGGAACTGCAGGAGAGACGGCAGCGGCAGAAGGACCTGTGTGAGAAACAGCGAACGCGACCATGGACCACGTTGCCCTCTTGGGGGCCGGACCCGACTCACCTTGACACCTTCGACCTGGTGCGGACGCAGCACCTTGGCAAGCCTCGGGTCGATGACGACGGGCACCTTTTCGACTTCCTTTTTCTTGACGTTGTTGAGGCCGAGGATCTCGGCGAGGCTCTTGTGCGGGCCCTTGCCGCCCGCCTCGATCTTGGCCTCCTCCTCCTCCTGCTTCTTCTGGAGCTCCTCCTTGCGGCGCTCGGCGTCCTTGTCGTCGACGGTGGGGTCAAAGAGGACGATGGCGTGCTCGCCCATAGGGTCGTGCAGCGGGCGCGGGGGGATCTCGCCGCTCCTGCGCGTGCCGAGCGCGGCGTTGGACGCGCGGACCTCGACCACCTGGCCGTCTTTGCTGCGCATCATGGGCACGGCGAAGCCCTTTTTGATGGCGTCGGGTTTTACGGCAAAAGTGGCCCACTTTCTCCTGTCGACGTTGAGCGAGACGCCGGTGGCGTCGATGCCCTTGTACACGCCCTCGAGCGTCTTTGCCGAGCCCTTGGACGTCTTTTTCTTCTTTGCCGGCTTGCCGCCGGCGCCGTCGTCGTCGGAGCCCTCTTCGGCCTCGGAGCCGTCATCGTTTGCGGCGCCGTCCATACCCTTGTAGCTGACTCGGGCGCGCTTCCTTCCGCTTGCATCGGCGTCTTGGCGTTTGGAGGCGAATGAGGGCGACTTGAAGGGCTTGCGCCCGAGGAGCGGGCCGAAGCCGGCGCCGTTTGCGGTCCTAGACACATCGGAGAGAACTCGGATCTTGCTGCTGCTGGGTGGCGGTGTTGGTGTGCCATCTGGAGCGGTGGCTGCGACGCCACTCGACTGCTGGATGGCCGCCAGCACGACGCTTCGCCTCATTGCGTGCAGGACCTCTGAATCGACGTAGATGCGGAGGAGGGATGAGGGATGTACGATGCTAGAGCGGGCGACGAGGGGATGAGCCTGGGCGCGTGATGCCAAAGGGCGCTGGGCGAGAGGAGGGCCGCGTGGATTGATCGGAAGAATGAAGCAAGGTTCGAGGTGGTGGCAGGAAGCGGGAAGCGTGGGGTCGGTACGGTGGCGAGGGTCCAACACGCCCAGGCCCAGGTTCAGCCCCAGCCCGCAGCCTCAGCCCGCCAGCCCGCCAGCCAGCCAAGCGATGTGGAGAACTTTCGGGCCAGCCAGGCCCAGGCCAGCGGCCGCCAGAAATTCCAGAAAAAGGGGGACGCGTCGTCGCTCGACGCGTAGAGGGCAAGCCAGGCCTGGCCCGGCCTGCAACACCTCTTGCCACCACTCACCTTCTTTTGTCCCCATCTTGCCGCTCCAGCCCCCTCTTTGGACGCTCGGACCGCCTCAGCACCCCTATCTGGCGCTACCTGGATGGACGGACCTGCCATTCACTCAAGATTAAGACAGCACGACAGCATGCGTGGCGCCTCAAACCACCGTCAAGCTCGCACCTGAGCACATACCGCGGCGTCGCCGGCCATGGACGTGCAGCCACCACTGCCAAATCCCCAGTCTCCACGCCGCAGCTCCCACCAGACTGTCTCCCCGCAATCACTGCAACAAAGACCCCAGCTGCAGCGGACGTCCGGCGCACCGGCCTCGAACCCCTCCGGACCATCCTACTCGTCCGAGCCGCTTCAGTTGGGCCAGATCGACTTGAGGCATGCCTCGCAGCACGGCGATGGCTCAGCCAGACGCCAGCTCGATCTGACGGAGAACCATCTCAAAGCAGTCTCCGCGCGTATCGGATCATCCCTTGACACAGTGCGCCATCGCATCCGAGAGAGGGCCTGCGACGCCGAGTTCTCCACAGCACTGAAGGACCGCTGGCAGCAGTGGTCCAGCACCTCGACCTCTTCCGGCAAGGCGGCTGCTGGCGCTGACGCCGGTGCCGACGCTGACGCCGATGAGGAGCATGAAGGCACCGACGCCAGCTCGACAGATGTGGGCTCCGACAACGAGTCGGCCGACGAGGACGCGGACAGGCACAGGGACAGGCATACGGGTAGGCGTAGGGACAGGGATGGGAACGCGGGCGGGGTTGAAGCCCACCCTGCGTCTGGCGAGCCGGATCAGCCGCCCCAAGGCCACAGCATCGAGTCCTCGCAGCGCCGTCGCTGGCAGCCACGAGGCTCGGCGGCTCATGACGGCAAGGCGTGGGACGAGATCCGCCGCGCCAGAGAGGCTTTGTTGGCGGACATGGACCGCTCCCTCCCGCGCGCATTCCGCTTCGACAAGACCCAGACGACCGCATTCTCGCGCAGAATCAAGACCAGGGCTGTCAACTCGCTCGATCGCCCCTTTAGCCTGCCAGAGATCCACCAGTTCATCCACGGCAACGCTATCGCAGAGGTGCCGCCAAGGACCCGACCAGGACCCTCGTCCGAACGCAACGATCCTGACCGTGCCTCTTCGCCGGTGGCCGAAGGGCTCGCCGGGGAGCGACACGAGGCCAGTGGGCCCCGCACCGGCAGGCCACCCCTCGTGCTTCAGCTATCCTATTTCTGGAGCACGCCGCACATCGACTTCGACGATGCCGAGGAGGAGCAGGAACAGGAGAAGCAGCAACAGGCACAGACAGGGCGCCCGGGGACACACGCCGCAGATGAGGGCTTCACAAGACCTCCGTCGCTGCCACGCCGACAAGGCGACGGTCCAGGAGGCATGAGGCGGTCGCAAACGATCGAGGTGCGCTCCGATCAGAACGTCTCCGTCATCCTCGACGCGATGCTCTGCTGGTCCGACGACCAGCCAGAGAGGGTCGGATGGAGGAAGCGGCTGGCTCGCCAAGCGCTAGGTGATGAGTCGGACGAGGTCATCGAGGACTACTTTGGCAGCCCCAGCGACCAGGGTCAAGGCATCGACTTCGATGGGCAAGAGCCCGTTTGTGCCCGCTTCACCGGCAGAAAGAGGACCAGCGACTCCTGCATGGTGATCGAGGGCCGACTCTACGGTGGCGGCATCCGTGCTGGAGACCAGCCCTGGGAAGCCGACTATGCCAGCCTCTTGAGCCGCCACTTTCCGGACGCCGATGGACGGCCGCAGCAGCCTGGGGACGTTGCGACCCGCTTCGACGAGCTGCCGGCGATCCGCGTCGGGCAGCCCTACTGGATCCTGCACCAAGGCGACTGCGTCCACAGCTTCACGCTCGACTGCGTCCGAGCCCTCCGGCCCGAAGAGCAACCGTCCTCGGTCGGGGCAATGCCGCAAGGGTCGCCATCCAACAGCGTCTTTCCGCGCGTCACGTGGATGGCGGGTCCGGCCGTGCTGCGCTTCATCTCGACCGACAGGGACAATGTCGGCATCGGCCACCGGATCCTCAAGGGCGAGGGACACGCCCACTACGCGTTCGGGTCGACGAGCCAGGCCGGCGTCCTCGGTGCCGAGCGCAGCAAGACCAAAGCTTGGGCGTCGCACGGGACCGCGAAGCGCAAGGAAGGCAGCGCACTGCGCACCCGGTACGGCAAGTGCACCGCGTGCCAGATCCGCAAGGCGCAGATCGGCATCCTCGGTGGCGAGAGAGTGAGGATCCGCCGGGCGACCAGGTCCCGCGACGGCCGAAAGGAGCACGCCGACGTGGAGGAGGACGAGGCGGCCACGACGCTGAGCGGGATGGATGAGCATCTCGTCTCGGTCTGTCCGCAGTGCGCTGTCCTCATGGGCGTCGCCAGGCTCAAACGGCCGCCCGTCCCGACCGAGTCCGGTCAAGAGCAGCAGCAGCAGCAGCAGCAGCAGGACGCCTCACCCACCGAGCCAGACGTAGCCGCCGAGCAGCTCGAGATCGGGGGAGCTTCAAGGGGCGATGACGGGAACGAACATGGCCAAGACGACGACGACGACGACGACGACGACGAAGACGATGACGATGGTGACCACGAACCAAGCGACGGAGCGGGACGCAGCAAGGGACGCCGCGCGCGCCCGACAAAGAAGGGAAAGGAGACCAAACGGAAGAAGAAGCAGAAGACCGAGAGTGGCGACGACACTGCGACGGCGGTTCGACCGGCAAACGTGCCCATCGAGGCCATCGAGATTGACTGGGACGCCCTCAATGCCGACGAGAGTCGATGGAACGGCTGGACCATCTTCCCTCTTTATTGACGCCCGATCCGACCCGGCCGGAGGCGTACACACACGCAACTGTATTTCTATCCATCCCCCTCCATCCCCATCCCCCGCCCCTTGCTCTCTCGTCCCATTCCGCTTTCTCCTCTGCACAGACGCGGTGCGATGCGGTTCATCTTGATCCTTGATTCGAGAGCGGTGGGTTGGATGCGTAATGCGTGAGCAATCAATCGACGGCGGCAGGAAGGAGCAACGTGGCCGGATAAAGAAAAGCGAAGAAGAGGCGACAAAGGAGGAGAAAGGTCGTTCAGATTACTCTTACAGGGGAAGGGTACAAGGAAAAAGGCGGGGATGAGTGTTGTACGCATGGATGGGTAAGGTGAGGGAAGGGAAGGGAAAAAATCTAGAGGGTGGTGTGGTGGGGCGTGATGCGGTGGGGCGTGGTGTGAGTCGACTGCCGTCGGCGATTTTGGGATGGAGGATGTGACTTGCGAAGGGAGGAGGGCCGCACTCGGAGTCTATCCGTGGATCATGGTGACGATGCCGGTGCCGACCGTCTTGCCGCCCTCGCGGAGGGTGAATCGCGATCCCTCCTCGAGCGCAATGTCGTGGACCAGCTCTCCGTCGAGCTCGACGTTGTCGCCCGGCATGACCATCTTCTCGCTGGCGTCCTCGGTGCCCGGCGGGTGGTGGAGGGCGACGGTGACGTCCGAGGTGCGGATGAAGAGCTGCGGGCGGTAGTTGTCCATGAAGGGCGTGTAGCGTCCGCCCTCCTCCTTCTTGAGGACGTAGATCTGGGCGCGGAACTTCTTGACGGGCTTGATCGAGCCCGGGATCACCATGACCTGGCCGCGCTTGACCTGCTCGCGCTTGACGCCGCGCAGCAGCGCGCCCATGTTGTCGCCGGCCATGCCCTGGTCGAGCTGCTTGTGGAACATCTCGATACCGGTGAGGGTCGTCTTGAAGGTGTTGCCGAGGCCGAGGATCTCGATTTCGGCACCCTTCTGGATGGTGCCGCGCTCGACACGGCCCGTGACGACGGTGCCTCGGCCGGGGATCGAGAAGACGTCCTCGACGGGCATCAGGAATGGCTTGTCGAGGTCACGGGGCGGCATGTCGAGCCATCGGTCAGTCTCCTCCATGAGCTTGGTGATGGCCTGGGCGCCAATCTCGGGGTTGCGACCCTCGAGGGCGGCGAGGGCCGAGCCGCTGACGATGGGCGTCTCCTCGCCGTTGAAGCCGTAGGTGGAGAGGAGGTCGCGCATCTCCATCTCGACGAGCTCGAGCATCTCGGGGTCGTCGACCTGGTCGACCTTGTTGATGAAGACGACGAGCTTCTTGATGCCGACCTGCTTGGCGAGCAGCAGGTGCTCGCGGGTCTGGGGCATCTGTCCGTCGGTGGCCGACACGACGATAATGGCGCCGTCCATCTGGGCGGCGCCGGTGATCATGTTTCGGATGTAGTCGGCGTGGCCGGGGCAGTCGACGTGGGCGTAGTGACGGTTGCCGGTCTCGTACTCGACGTGGGCGGTGGAGATGGTGATACCACGGGCGCGCTCCTCGGGCGCCTTGTCGATCGAGGCGTAGTCGATGAACTTGCCGGAGCCCGATGCCTCGTGGAGGACCTTTGTGATGGCGGCGGTGAGGGTCGTCTTTCCGTGGTCGACGTGACCGATGGTGCCGATGTTCATGTGGGGCTTGTCACGGTTGAACTTGCCGGCCTCGGCGGCGTAGCCGCGAGCCTGGAGGCGGGAGGCGATGGCGACGCGGGGAGCGAGCGGTGCGGCGGGGATCCTGGCGCGGCTGGCGAGGCGGCCGACAGGAGTCGCCTGGGACTGGAAGCCGCGTGCCACGGTCGGGGTGGCGGCGGCAGTCGAGGCCGAGACGGACCTCGAGGAAGCGGCAAGGGAGCGAGCGATGCTCTTGGGAGCGTGGGATCGGAGCAGACTCATGATTGCGGCGAAGCTGCGAAGGGTGGTGAAAGGGGAGGGAGCGATGAGGTGGCAAGGTAGGAGGGAGTGCGGTGGTGGAGGAAGAGGAGAGGGAGAGACGAGGAGCGGGTCAGCGGGGGGCGAGGGGCAGCCGTCGAAATCGGAAGCTTTGACAAATCGCAGCCAGCCAGCGTCCCGGTTCCGCCTGGCCGGCGCCGTGCTTCGCCCTGGTTCTTTCTTCTGGCCAGCGCCCCCCCACGCGGCGGGTTTCGGAAGGCCTGGGCCTGGCCTGGCCAGTCCAAGCCACCTTTCGTCAGCCAGCCAGCCTGCCAGCCCCAGCAACCTGAAAAAAATCCGCCCGGACTGAGCGCTGATCTCGGATCCGAAAAGTACCCTGTGGCCCCTCTCCCGGCAGCGTGGCCAGGCAGCGATCGCCCGCCACTCTGGCACTCCACCGCAACTCGGGCCAGCGGGCCAGCAGGCTGGGGGCTGAACCCTGGCAGCAACCCAACCAGCTCCACCCTCGGCCAGGTGCACCGTTGGCACCTGCTTCACCCTGCACCGTCGCCTCCCCGTCCCGTCTTCCATCTTCCACGGCCGCAGCCTCTGCTTCTCCATCTCACCACCACCGCCACCGCCATCACTACCCAGCCTCTATCCACCTCTTTGCACGCTTCTATCACTGCTCTCGCCACCGACCAACACCCCGGCCGCCGACAGACAGTCCGCAGCTCCCCCACCCGGCTCAGAGCGGGCATACTTGACACCTCTCTGGCCCACGCACTGCTGACGTCGTAGCCAAAATGGAGGACGGATACAGCAACGGCGCAAAGCGCTCCGCTTCCCCCGCCGCCGACGACGAGCACGCCTACGACCAGCAGACCCGTCTCGATCGTTCCTCGTCGTCCTCTCCTCAGTCAAGAAAGGACAAGCGTCGCGCAGAGCAGGATGACGAAGACGACGAGGACGACGAGGAAGATGACGAGGATGACGAGGAAGACGACGACGATGACGACGACGACGACGACGAGGATGAGGACGAAGACGGCGAGGACGTAAGGGGAAAGAGGAGGCGCGCCAAGAAGCAGAAGCGAAACCGCTTCCTCGATGTCGAGGCAGAAGTCGATGACGACGAAGAGGACCTGGACGAGGAGGAGGAGGAGCTGGCGCGAGAAGGTGAGCATCACCTCCTGCGCTCTGCTGGCTGCGGCTCAAAGGCGAAGCGCTGACCCTTTGCAACGCTCGTCCCCAACCCCCGACACTCGCAGACGGCTTCATCGAGGAGGACATCGCCGACGACACCGAGGACGTCCGGCGGCGCGCCGCTGCCGACAACCAGAGGCTCGATCGCTTCCGGCGCGAGGAGGAGGACACCAACGCAGAGGCGCTCGCCGAGGAGCTGCGGCAGAGGTACGGCCGCTCGGCGCGCTATGCCGCCCAGTCCGACTACGCCGAGGTGCCGCAGCGCCTGCTGATGCCCTCGGTCGAGGACCCTAACCTCTGGGGCGTGCCCTGCAAGCCGGGAAGGGAGCGCGACATTGTCATGACGCTCGTCCGCAAGGCCATGGCCGAGAGCGTCACCAGCAAGCCGATGCGCATCATCTCGGCCTTTTGCCGTGACACGATCCCCGGCAAGATCTACGTCGAGGCGAGGCGCGCCGACGACATCATCACGGCCTGCAGCGGCCTCGCCGGCGTATACGCCCGGCAGACGACGGCGCTCTACCTGATCCCAATCTCGGAGATGGCTGATCTGCTCAAGCTGCAGAAGGTCACGCAAGAGATCCAGGTCGGCGGCTGGGTCCGCATCAAGCGCGGCAAGTACGCTGGCGACCTGGCCCAGGTCCTCGACGTGTCCGAGAACGGCGAAGAGGTCGGTCTCAAATTCATCCCGCGTATCGACCTGAATCCCAAGGACAGCGGCGTCTTCACCGACAGCGCCGGCCGCAAGCGCAAGAAGGGGGCCGGCGCCGGCTCTACGGCCATCAACTTCCGTCCGCCGCAGAAGTTCTTCAACCCAGAAGAGGTCCAGAAGGCCTACCCCAAGGAGACGCCCAGCAAGCGCGGCAGCTTCTGGGTCTTTCAGAACGACAGCTTCCGCGACGGCTACCTCGAAAAGGACATGCGTGTGACGGGCATCATCACCGAGAACGTTAACCCGACGCTCGAGGAGATCACGCGCTTCGCCGGCGAGTCGGCCGAGGACGGCGCCTACAAGGCGGGCGGCGTCGACCTCAGCCTCATCGCCGACGCCGCCAAAAAGGCGTCCGAGGTGCTGCTGCAGCCGGGCGACCACGTCGAGGTATTTGAAGGCGAGCAGGCGGGCGTGTTCGGCGTGGTCGAAGCCGTCAGCAGCGAGGTCGTCACGATCAAGATGGAGCACGAGGACCTCATCGGGCAGAAGGTCGAGGTGCCGGCGCGCAGCGTGCGCAAGAAGTTCAGCCCGGGTGATCACATCAAGGTCATGACGGGCAAGCACGCCGACGAGACCGGCCTGGTCGTCAAGGTCGAGGACAACATCACCACGTTCCTCTCCGACCTGTCGCTCCAGGAAGTCTCGGTGTTTTCCAAGGACATCCGCGAGGCCGCCGAGGTCGGCTCCGGAGTCAACGTCATCGGTGGCTACGAGCTGCACGACCTGGTTCAGCTTGACGCCCAGACGGTCGGCGTCATCTTCAAGATCGAGCGCGAGAGCTTCAAGGTGCTCGACCAGACCGGCCAGGTGGTCAGCGTCAAGCCACACCAGATCAGCTCCAAGAAGGACACGACGCGCGCCTTTGCGCTCGACCACGACGGCAACGAGATCCGCGCAGGAGACATGGTCAAGGAAGTGGCCGGCCCCTTTTCCCAGATGCGAACGGGCCAGGTGCTCCACGTCTACCAGTCGATGATCGCCTTTATGCACAACCGCGACTACAGCGAGAATGGCGGAATCTTTATCGCGCGAGCCCGGACGCTCGAGCCGCTGGCGCCCAAGAGCGTCTCGGCCAAGGCCAAGGACTCGCGGGACCTGTCGAAGCTCAACCCGGCGCTGGCCAGCATGACGGGCCCGTCGGCGGGCGCCAACGCGGTCCGCGTCGAGGGCGTGCGGCGCCAGATCGGCCGCGACGTCTACCAGGGCAAGCACGTCGCCGTCATCAAGGGGCCGTACAAGACCTTCCGCGGCATCATCAAAGAGACCAACGGCAACATGGCGAGGATCGAGCTGCAGTCGGTGCCCAAGCCCGTCACCATCAGCCTCGACTTCCTCGTAGAGAAGGACCCGATCACGGGCCGGAGCAGCCGCCTCGGTGGGTCCGGGCCAGGAGGCGGGGCCGGCAGCGGAGGCTTCTCGCAGATTCCCAACCGCGGCGGCTACAACGCGATGGGGTCCGGCATGGGCAACATGTCGCACAACCCTTACTCGTCGGGACCATCGATGGTCGGCCCATCTGCGGCAGGAGGCTACAACCCGTACGGCGGAAGCCAGCCCGTGGCTGCCGGGTACGGTGCATCGCCCAGTAGCATGGGCGGTGGTGGCGGCGGTGGAAGCTGGGGCGGCAGCTACCCGTCTTCGCAGCCAGTCGCTGCGGGCGGTGGCGGCGGCGGCTGGGACATGCCGGCCATGGGCGGTTCCAAGACGCCCGCGTACAACCCCTACGCTGGCGACGGTGGCAAGACGCCGGCGTACAACCCTCTCGCCGACGGCGGCAAGACGCCCGCCTACAACCCGGCAATGGATGGCGGACGCACGCCGGCCTACAACCCGATGGCCGACGGAGGGCGGACGCCGGCGTACAACCCGTACGCTGATGGCGGGCGGACACCAGGCTACCTGCCCTAGCCTGGGCAGCCCGACACTTCCGCTCGACCGAGACGCCGGCCCTTTTGATTCTCGATTGTATTCCTTTGACAGCACAGCATCCCCGACATCCCTGCGAGAAAGAATGCACAGACACCCTTGCACGCTTCCCCGCTTCATCGCTTCATCCGCGCGATACTCATGGCTCACACGCATCGAGGCTCGAGGTCGTTATTATTTCTGCATTGAGGACCCGCGGGACAATCAGTCTACGCCGCTCTGAGGGCGACTTATGCCAACCGACCGTAGAGGCAATCGTTCCAGGGCGTCGGCCCGGGCCCTCGCCCGACTATCCTCGCTCAGTAGAAACTCCTCTTTCCGGCGACGAGGGCGGCGGGGGCATCGTCGACGAGGCTGCGCTTGTCGTGGGGCTTGTTGCCATTGTTGTGGCCGAGGCCGGAGCCGGCGCGCGTGACGACCGAGTTTTTCGTCTTGAAGGTGTTGTAGAGGCGGTTCATGTCGTCGTCGCTGAAGCCGAGGTGGGCCTTTACGGCGTTGGGCGGCGTGAGGGCGAGCCAGTTGCTCAGGCTGATGTCCTGGTACTTGGGCGCCTTGAAGAGCTCGAGGTAGACGACGGTGTCGTTGCCGATGTTTTCGATGTAGTGGCCCGACTGCTCCTTGATGTAGGCCGTGTCGCCCGCCTGGAAGTCGTAGGTGCGCGCATTGGTCGAGCCGGCAAAGATGGTCATGCGGGCGTGGCCCTGGATAAAGTAGTCCCACTCGGGCGAGTTGGGGTGCCAGTGCAGCTCGCGCATCGCGCCCGGCTCGATGGTGACGAGCGCCGAGGCGATGGTCGAGGCGGAAAACTTGGTGCTGTCGAGGACCTTTGCCGAGCCGCCGTTGTACTTTGTCGCCTCCATGTCGCTGTACGGGTAGAAGAAGGGCGACTTGGTCCGCTGCCCCTGCGGGTTGTCGACGGCCGTGGTGCCCTCGGTGCTGTTGTCGACGGTGCTGGGGAAGATGTAGAGTTCCTCGCTGGGGAACTTGTCGTACGCCGTGCTCGACAGGTCGGCGGCGCCGAAATTCTTGGCAATCACCTCCTTGGGGATGTGGGCCAGCCAGTCGGTCAGGAGCAGCGTCGAGTCCTCGCTGAAGCTGCCGTCGTCGAAGACCAGCAGGAACTCGCTGCCCTGATCGCTGACGGCCTGCAGCGTGTGCGGCGTGCCCGCCGGGAAGAACCACAGGTCACCCTCCTTGACGTCGTGGACGTAGTTTTTGCCGTCCGGGTCGACAGCGGAGATGCGCGTCGTTCCGTTGAGGACGTAGGCCCACTCGCCGGTGGCCTGCAGGAACGGTGAAGGGGATCCAAGGAGAGTTCGAAAGGTCAGCCATGGCTCAGCCTGGGATGCACGAGCTCGCCCAGGAACGGAAGCGGGACACTCACATGCCAGTGCAGCTCGCGGAAGGCGCCCTTTTCGAGGCGCATGTTGACGCCCGCCATTTCAGTGGCGACGGGGAGGACGTCGACATTCTGCTGCCTGGCCCATCCTCCGGTCTCGAGGCGGTTGTGCGAGAGGGCAAAGGGCCACTTTGCCTGCGGGATGGTACCGTGGTCGGTGCTGGGCGGCGCAAAGATGTCCGGGTTCTGGCGGCTGATCTCGGTATTGTCCGGGCCGTAGTTGGTGGCGCCCGTCTTGCCACGCACGGGCTGGGGCAGCACGCCCTCGCGCTGGAACTGCTCCCAGAGGCTGTAGTCGCTGATGTTGGAGCGGTATTCGACCGGGTAGGTGGACGCGACGTTCTTTGCGCGCTTCATGACCTGCTCGTCAAAGGCGCGGACGGCCTCGTCGCGCTTGCGAAGCGTGGTGAGCGACTTGGCCGAGTCAAAGGGGATGGCGAGCGCCATCGATAGGAGGGAGAGGAAGGGTAGCGCAGAGAGGACGCGCATCTTGGGCAGGTCGTTGTTGGAGCGGTCGACGGGGGTGAGGATGAGGGGAAGAAAGGGTTGGTGGATGATTCGTTCCGGGGGGCGCTCGGGGTGGCCAGCCGTCGTTGTTATATACGATGTCGTTGGCCCGCCATGGCGGCTACCAGAGCCTCGTGAGTCAGGATCCGGACCGGGGCGCGGCGAGGCAGGACAAGGTAAGCGGGGACATGCTTCTGGAGGGCCAGGACGGGGCGGAGCACCGCGGGTGTGACCTGCCGGCTGTCAGTGAAGAGTCCAAGGGCAGAGGAGGGGGCCCAGCACGGCCGCTTTGGGGTCGCGGGGCCGGTCGAAGTGGTGGTGCTTGGCCGCAGAGAAGGAGCTGCGATGAGCGGGGGGTGCAGCATCGCGCCCCGTGCTGTCTCACCATAGCGTGACAGAGACGGATGGATCGGCCGTACCAACCAAGTTGGTGGCGGGAGCACGACCGCAAGCAGCTTCAGGCAGATGGAGAGGTGTTGGCAGCAAGCAAGTGTCGGTGGCCGTCCGAGCCGAAAAGGAAGCAGCAGACCGAGCAGCAGCGCGGACGCCATCCGCCGCGGCACCAGCCGAGCTTTTAGGTGTGTGGCACTGTAGCGGCCGTTGCCGTTGCCATGCATTGATGGCCTTTCGCATGGATCGAGTGGCAGGCCGCCGGGTGGGATGCCGCCGTCGCATCGGCAGCTACCGTAGCAGTTGGGCTGGCAGGCCTGTTGGAAGATGGTCTCTCGGAGCAGAGCTCGCAACCTGAGGCCCTCGGCGGGCCGCTCTCTCTCTCTCTCTCTCTCTCTCTCTCTCTCGCTCTTGCTTCGGCCGCCTGGTCAGGTTCCACTCTGCTCGCCGTTTTGCTGCAGCTGTCGGCCCCTAGACAAGGCGCCAGCCTGTCGACGATGGCCGAGCCGCGTCTCTGGACCAACGTACCCACTCCTAGCCTGAACGACTAGCCGGCGGTGTGGGCCCTTTTGCTGCCGTTCACACAGAGCCGAACTGCCGAATACCAGGATGTAGGCGTGTACGTACCAGCACGGCGGTCGATCTGGCGACGTGGGAAAGGCGTCGTCGCACCCACGATCTCGTCTAGCCCAGATCCGTCTGTAGGCTGAGCCAGACCGCCGGCTAGACCTTGTATCGCCTTGATGGATGCACCCATCGGTTGCATGGTTCACCTTGCTCTGCAACCACCGCGGGCTCCTTGGCACGTTCCTCGGGAGACAAGGCGCGAGCGTCCATCGATCGAGGGCCAACTGCCGGATCTGTGGTACGGCAACGCCAGCCACCCTTTTGTCCCCGTCGCGTCTCGGCCCTTTCCGGACAGTCCGAGGGAGGAGACGGCCGACATCCGCTGCGCCTCTTGACGTGGTGAGACCGCGTTGATGACATCGAACCAGGCTGCATCCTACCGTAGCGTAGCATCGCGAAAGAGAGGGCCCGATGCCAGCAGGCCTGCCTGTTGGGAAAGGTACTACTATCGTAGCTGTGGCAGGCGCGCGCTGTCTCGTTCGGCATCCTTGCAGCCAGCCCTCGTTGTGGAGGGGCAGGCAGCGCCGAATTTGGCCGGGGTGGCCGCGCATTCAAAATTCCCCGCGAGAGAAGCAGGGTCCCCCGCCGACGGAAGCCCCGACCGGCGGCTCAACCGGCAGAGGCCGCTGCACGCCGGCAGCCAGCCAGCCAGCCAGCCAGCCAGCCAGCCAGCCAGCCCGGGACAGCCGACGCCAGCCGGCCAGCAGGCAAGGACGCCGTTGACCAGCCTCGCACCTTCCCTTGGCAGCTTCGCCTGGCCAGTCGTGACCGGACCTCGCTCGCTCGCCATACGGGCGACCAACCTACTCCAAGCTCAAGGTTTCGGCTCAATCCGTCCTAGCCTCTCACGCAACTCTGGTCGAGCGACAGCGGCGCCGGCTGCGCCGAGCCCTAACCCCCGCCGGCGTGTGGTCGCGGCAAAGTCGCAAAGGGGCGTGTATGCCTAGAGAAGCCTAACGCCAACGTCGATTGATCCGCTACAGCTATAGTAAGAAGGTCACGTTGCACCCTGTAGTCCGGATCGACAGCAGCAAGGACCTCTGCAAGCGCTCAGGCCCTCTCGGCGCCGTGCAGCGTCTGGCCGTCGAGCCCGTTTGAGGCCACCCCGTGACCCTGCCCGTCTTGGTGCCACAGCCGCCTCGGCTCGTCCGCCCGCTCCTCTTCCCTCTGGTCGTCCAGGGGGATGCGGAACATGGCGCCGGACAGCACCGCGTACGCAAAGCGAAACAGCAGCAGCAGCCACACGGCCACCAGCATGATCGTCATGACGGCCGCCACCCAGGTGATGGCGTTGCTGCCTAGCACCTTGCCGATCTCGTTGGTCGACAGCGCCCAGCCCACGTTGGGAAAGACAAAGGACCACCACGCGATGCCAAACTTCAACCGACGCCGCCGCACCGCCGCAGCCACGTTGCACGCCAGCGCCAGCACAAAGAACCACAGCGCCAGCCCCCAGATGAGGAGCGCAAACAGCGTCGCCACCAGCTCAATCATGGGCGCCAGGTTGGGCACCGGCGGCGTCAGCGTCTGGTCCGTGACGTAGCTCGACGCGTTCTCGCTCAGCCGCAGCAGCGCGTATGACGTGAATGCCGGCGGTCCGACGGCGATGAACATGGTCGGCCTCGCGGCCGGCGGAGGGAGGCCGTAGATCGAGAGGCGGAAGAGGTAGAGGGCGAACTCGAGCAGCGAGAGGATGAAGCCCAGCCCCTGGAGGATGAGGCCCCCCACGGCCACGTTGAGCGCATCGCCGGGCGTCAGCAGCGGAACGATGCTCGCCGCGACGGTGCCGAGCAGCATTAGCGGCAGGAAGGGCAAGATCCACCCGGGCGTGTAGTCTGCGATCTTGAGCTTGTGGCCGCCGCCAAAGATGGTGAGGTAGGTCGTCCAGCTCTGCAGCAGGCAGACGCCCAGGTGGATCCAGAAGATGACCTGGAGCGTCGATCCGAGCCAGGGCCCCGTCTTGGTCATGCCGTAGTTGGCCGCGCCCGTGATGATGGTCGAGACGGCGAGCAAGACGGTGGGCATGAAGAAGAGCTCCGAGGGGTCGGTCAGGGAGCGGGTCAGGGCGCCCCGATGCGTGGCGAAGCGAAGGCAGACGCCGACGACGAGCGCGACGAAGATGACGAGGTTGGCGATGAAGACGATGGTGCCAATGGTGTCCAGGCCGTCGAAGCGGTGGACGATGCTGTAGAGCAGGATGGCCAGCCCGCCCGTGCTCATCGAAAACGTGAACCACTGCCATGTGATGCATTGGGTGCGGTCGAGCCAGCCGCCCGCCCCGCCAGGGCGTTGCGTCGCAAGCTGACCCTTCATGGCAGGCCAGGTGCGGGTTGTCGAGAGATCCGTCCTGCAGATGTGAGGCTCCAAGCAGGGGTCCAGCTGAAGGGAGTCTCAGGTTTGCTGGATGCCCGCTCGCCAGGCAGCGGTGGTGGCAGCGATGGTATCGGTCGAGACGGCAGAGGCGGTCGCAGTGGCGGTCCGCGGTGGCGGGGTGGGTGATGGTGGTGGGCGAAGCTACCTCTACATGGCGTCGAGACGTCTGGTAATGCCCCACAGCTCCTCCACGGAGAGGCCCATCGTTGTCGATGGAGGAGATAGAAGGACGATGAGCCGTCCTCGATGCTTTGCCTTACCAGAGGGCTACGTCACGGGCCAGCCGCTTGTCACCGAGCACGCGGCAACAAGAGTGGACGAGTCGAGAAGGAAAGGCCAAGGGATCGACAGGGCCCAGCCAGGCACGCCGGCTTTGTTGGCGCTGACCTCACCGCCAGACCCGCCATGGTTGGTCGGGTCAACATTTTCTCGCGCGAGACAATGGCAGGCAAGCCGATGCCAGGTCCCTCGCCGCTTCGCAACCTTCAGCGACCTCGACCCGCTTTCATCGCTCTCAGGTCCTCTGTCAGCTATGCCGACACGCAGATGCCGACGTCCACGACAATCAGCGACTAGTTGCAAGAAGCAGACGAGACGAGCGAGGATCGATTCGATGGGAGTGACTCTAATCCTCAGCGCCTAGTGAGTGCCCGGCGCGCGTTGTGATCCTCGAGGCCGTAAACCCGACCTTTCTCTGTCGTCCTCGTGTCGACAGCGTGGTGTATATCGTCTATGCCGTCGGTCCTTGAGACAGATTGATGGTGAAGACGGCAGGACGTGGTGTCTGCCGGCATCGCTGCCGCGAACACTCGTCGGCAGATACCTGTGGCTGATATCGAGCAGCGCCTCTCAGACGGCCACGGAAGCTGCCGATCCGATCCGTCACGTTCCGTCCGAGGCCGACGGGTTGGCAGAACCGCTCGACGTCTCGTTTCATGAAAACCTTCTGACCTGGAAGACGAGGCGACCTTCGAGTTCGGGCATATCCCGACGATGGCGCCGGCGGCTGAACCGTGGGTGACACTTCGTACCCGTCCTTGCGGTGCCGCCGGTCAGGCATGGAGGCGGTCGTCGCATGAAGAAAGAGGATCATCAAAGGGTCCATCTTGTCGAGGCGTGCACCGTGAGCCGGACGCTCGGGTCACGACATGCCGAGATGCCATGGCGGACGGCGAAGACGAGTACGGTTACTGTAGTTCAGGTGGCGGAAAGATGCACAGACCGGCATGGCAGGATCTGTGGGAGCGCGGGTCCGCTCTCCGAAAGCGGACCCAGTCTCAATTCCAGGGGATCTTCGAGACCAAAAACATATAGGCTCTAACTGTGTTGCAAAAACTCACGCGATTTTGTTTTTGAAGCCCATTGAAGCTTAGAGCCGCGAAAATGCTGTCATATGGGAAAATTAGACTTTGAACCTGCTACCAGCTCAGTGGAGCTACAGGGACGGCTCAGCGGGTCCAGACGCTGATCCAAGAAATCGCGACTGACCAAATTCTCGACAATGGAGTCAAGTTTCAAAAATTGCTTTCGTCGATTATTGAAAGGGAATGATATAATGAAAAAGCTGGAAAACCTCTTCTCTTTGGGTCCCGGCAAGCAATCACCGGCCGACATGCTCCCGCGACGCCGCTCGGGGCCTGTTTCGCCATTCCAACTTTATCTCTCCATGACCTCGTCGACGATGCCCAACGAACTGGTCTACCTCGATCGGCACCGCCATTGTGCTCGACGACGGTGTCCGCCTCTCTCTCACGCCTTCGGGGGCAATATAGGGTTGGAGAACAACCGGCGGGCTGGCGTGTGCGCATCGCATGTGTCCTACGGGATGGCATGATCCGCCGGAGCTTCTTCCTATCTACCGCATCCCGAACCGGTCCCTGCTTGATAGCGAGCGACGCCTGAGCACGGACCAAGCTAGCGGATCGGTCAGGGCAATACTGCTTTCTGTTGATGCTAGCAGGTGCATGGCGTGCCCCACCCACGGGCGAGAAGAAGTGCGGACGCGGGGAATGGCCGAGCGGCAGGACCCGTGGCTCTGGCCTTTGATGTCCTGCCATGAAGACGAGTAGGCGGCAGTCACACACACACATACATACATACACTGACGAGGATCGTCCGGGCCCCTTGCAGTTTCCTTTGATCGTCGTCCAACAAAAGATGAAGCGACAGGGCCGCAAGCAAGATGCGGGGACATGCAGGCGTGACGTACTCTGCGCTGATCATGAGGAAGAACTGGGCGAGTCGGCACTTCGGACATGACCGTCGTCGATCTGCCGGTCTCCGCAGCGCCGGCGCAGCATGTTCCGTCTCTTGTCCCCTCGACGTCGCACCTCATGACGAAAGGATGTTCAGCGACGAGCTATAGGAAGGTGTGATGGCGCGGAAGGACGATTGATTGCGGGGTCTGTCATCTGATCTGCCGCCATGCAGCTGCTTCTGATGCCGCCACCACCGCCCGCTGCCTTTACGGCTGGATCCGTTCCGCTGCCTCGGAGCAACCTTATCACTCGGTCCATGCACTCCATGTACGCATCGATTTCCTTCTCCGACGACGACGGCGACGACGACGACGTACGATGGCGAGGCCCAAGGCAAAATGTTGTCGCCATTTCGAGCCGGCAGCAAAGAACGAGGTGCCGGACGGCATTTTAAGATGCACTTGTGTCCTGGACGATCGTAACGATGGCGAGCGTCGGAACAAAGTCGTCCGTCGGGCCCGCTCCATCTCCCGGGAGAATCAACAACGTCGGGCGGCCCGGTTGGTCGGTCGGTGGTCTTCCTTGGAAGAAGATGCGGTCCGCCCTTCGAGCGTCGAAGCGATGGCAGCTGCAGGCGGGCGACGAGGCGATGCTCTAGAAGGTCAGGCGCCGGTCTTCTGGAATCAGCCGTCGGTCGGTCGGAGCGCGAAGCCAAGGCAGGCCGAGGCGAGGCGAGGTCAGGAGCGAGCTGACCTTCCATCGAATCGGCGGTTGGAGCGGCAGCGGCGGCGGCGGCGGCGGCGGCGGCATCAGCAGCGAGGCAGCTTCCATCGCAGCACGGGGCGGGACGTGAAACCGCGAGCGAGTTTGCATGCCTTCCTCAAGCCATGGCGGACAGACGGTGGTCCGAGCAGACCAGGCCCCGTCCCGAATCGACGGTCCTCGACCTGCCCAACCCGCTCTTGCTTGGAGCTGGCCGACTTCATCGTGACGGATCCCCACTTCGGCCTGGCCCGCGTTCTACCGGCATCTCCCGGCCCAACCTCTAACCTGCCTTGCTTGCTGCTTGCTGCTGGCTGGCTGCTCGTTGGTCGGGCGTTTAATTTGTTCTTCGCGGCAGCTGCACAAATCGCCACCTCGCTAAGCGCGCCCGCAATTTAATTCATGCCAACCCAGCCGGGCTGCACTTTGGCGCTCGCTTAGGGCTCGCCCTCCGATGCACCAGCGCAGCGCAGCAAGGCCCGAGCCAGCCTCCCGGCCTGCTCGGCCTTCCTCCCTCCCCGGTCTTGGTCGCCATCGCACAGAGAGACCGACACGACGAAGGCGGCCGCTCTCATCGATGGCCAATCAGAAAACATGTGGCTGTAATCTGGACACAATCGGCGAGCTCCGTGATTGTTGTTGTCTGATTGTGGCAACGAGGCGGGCGAAGGCGTGCGCGCATTCCGCTCGCGCCACAATCGACGAAAGGGTCGACTTGCCTGATCAAGCTCAGAGACAGACTCACCACTCGACGGCGCCGACCGTCTCGTGTCGTGTCGCAAGCAAGCAAGCACGCCTAGCCTTGCTTGTCTGTCCGTCATCGCCAAGCCTGTGTGAACGTTATTCCTCTCCGAGTGCGGTCAGAGCCGCTCACGGGCAGAGGCCGATCTACAGGCGAGCCAAGGGTCACAGGGAGGGCACGGAACCAGGCTGCCGTCTAGAGACGAGGCGCTCGGGGTGCCTCCGAAGGATGCAGGGTCAGTGTCAAGGGACGACAAGCGAATGCCTCTGAGCCCTGCCTTGGCTTGCTTTGTCTTCTTCCTCTGCTCGAGGGCAGGCTACTGTAAACGGCGGTCCGAGGGCGGCACCCATCCGACCTTTGCTCATCTTTGTGCGGTTCGTCGACGTCCGCAGCGGTACATACGGTACGAGGCTAGGTTCTCGCTCGGTGCTTCACCTGCCGTATCTACACACTAGCTCTTGCTCTCACGCCCGGTCAGGAGAAGGTGCCGAAGTGAGCAGCGCTGTAAAACTAGCTCCGCAGGCGCCGATCGGACGACCAGTCGACGCCAAGGACAACCAAGCACTCGACTACCGTGCACAAACCCACCATCGCGTCACTGCCGGCTCTACTCGAGTCGACGATGATCCAGAGCAAGATCAGGGTGCGACCGACCACCATCGAGGGGAGGTGCGATGGTGGGTAGGGTGGTGCGCAGCATCGGCGAGATGGAGAGACAGACGGCGCCTTGCTGTACCTACCTACCTATGCGAGGATGCGTGCGCTTGTGCGCCGTCGCCGCGGTGAGGATACCGTGCGTGCGTCGTTGCCCGGCGGCTTTATGCCGCTGTCGTGGAGCTGGAGGTGGGTTGCCTGCCTGTCTGCGCCGGCGGCCTCGGTGGAGCGGCGGCTGGCGAGCGGTTTCCCATCGGATGCTCTCCATCCGACAGCGGCCATTTGGTAGCGCCGCGCCAACAGCTCAGCTCAACCGAGGCCAGGCGAGCAGATGGCACCGACCAGCTCGAGACGAGCCGTGGGGTCCAACGCCGCTCGGGCAGGCAGGCAGGGTCCCAAGACGTGTCTCGCCTCTTTGCCACACGGCCAGGGGGCACACGGCAAAGATAGCGGTAACCAACCGACATCGACCAACGACATCGACATCGACGCTCGTGGCTGCAGGTGCGAGCTGGGGCAGCCAGCCTCGCTGGCCATGCAAAACAGCGCTAAGCTCTGGCTTTGCTGCTCGTCTACCCTCGCACAGCCCCTGCAACCCAAGCGAGCCAGCAGCAGCATGTCGACTCAAAGCTTCCCAGCAGCCAAAGCATCTCGACGACCGGCCTTTCTTCTCTGAGCCTTTGCTGCCGCTCGTCCATGTTCGAGCTTGGTCCGAGGCCATCTGCTGTACCCTTAGCCGGCGCTGCAGTAAGCTCCGCCTCCGAGGCCTCTCTCGACGACATGCAGGCTGCTGGAAGCATCTGCACAGTTGCCACCCTTGGCCGCTTCTCATCGCCGCTGCCTTGAGATAGACAGCCGCTTCGCTCAACGAGGACACCAACTCGGCCCAATCTCTTCCGTGATGGCTCTACCACCGGCCCGCCGCTCTCGCTTCCAGGCTGCCGCGGCCATGAGGACGCTTAGCCTCATCCCGGCAATCACTGCTGCTGACCTCTCGAGGATTGGCTCTCACTTCGACGCTTCCTCGGGCGCTGTTCCCAATCGTCATCGCAGCCACCCTCCCCCGCATCCGCCGCGCTGGGCAAAGCCAGGACGGGTGGCTGCACTGCGTCCTCGCCGTCGACACAGGACCGCCCGACACCTCAGCGACTGCTGCCGGATAGGGTATAAGTAGGCTCTCGTCTGAGCACCATCATCACCTCTTCTCATCCTCATCCTCCCCCACATCTTCTAGAGCCATCTAAACCTCTCTTCTTTTCCCCTATCTCCTAGATTTCCTGTGACCTTTCTCTCCTCCCGGACCCCTTGTCTCCACCATGCAGCTCAAGCTCTCCTTTGTCGCCGGCCTGATCGCCAGCTCCCTCGCCCTCGCTGCGCCCGTCGCCGAGGAGAAGGGCATCAACGTCGAGCTCACCAAGCGCGACAGCCTCACCAACGGCTCGGGCCACGTCGACTTCGGCAAGGTCGATCGCCACATCAACGCCCTCCGCGCCAAGTACCAGAAGAACCTCGACAACTACCAGCGCAACACCGGCGCCTCGCACCGCGTCAAGCGCTCGCTCCCGGAGCACCTCGAGAAGCGCGCCACCGGCTCCGTCCCGCTGACCGACGTCTCCAACGAGCTCCTTTGGACCGGAAAGATTGCCTACGGCACCCCCGCCCAGTCCTTCAACATCGACTTTGACACTGGCTCCTCGGACACCCTCGTCAACGCCGGCACCTACCGCCCCGGCTCTTCGTCGACCTCGGTCAAGACCTCCAAGGCATTCTCCACCGCCTACGGCGACGGCACCACGGCCAAGGGCACCGTCTACACCGACGCCCTCACCATCGGCGGTCTGACGGCCTCCAGGGTCGCCATCGGCCTCTCGACCACCACCTTTGTCACGGACAGCGCCGGCATCAGCGGCATGGCCTTCCCCAACCTCGCTCAGTTCGGCTCGGCCTACCCTCCCTTCTTCTACAGCCTCAAGAACCAGGGCAAGCTCAACGCCGGTGTCTTCCAGTTCACCCTGGCCAAGACTGGCTCGTCGCTCTACCTCGGCGGCACCGACGCCTCCAAGTACTCGGGCAGCTTCACCTGGTCGCCCGTCGACAGCAGCCAGGGCTTCTGGCTCACCTCGGCCAGCGTCAACGGCCTCTCGATCGACAGCATCGTCGACACCGGCACCACCGTCATCGTTGCCCCCACCAACGAGGCCCAGTCGCTCTTCAACAGGCTCGGCCTGGACACCTTCACCCAGGACAACCAGCTCTACGGTGCCTACGACTGCAACTCGCCCCCCAGGGTCACCTTCAACTACTCGGGCAAGGCCATCACCCTGAGCGGCGACACCGTCAAGTTCGGCACCACCACCGACGGCTCCTGCGTCCTCTCGGTCGTCGGTGGCGACGTCGGCATCAGCGCCTGGGTCACCGGTGACTCGCTCCTCCAGAACACTGTCGCCGCCTTTGACGTCGACAACAGCCGCGTCGGCTTCGCCACCAAGCGCTAAGCGCTCCCACGCCCCCCCAAGTGCTTTGCGGCCCTTGTCCAGCCATCCACGATCATGATGCGACGACAAGCTCACGACGACGAACACGAGGGAAAATCTCACTTCACGCTCGCCGGGAGGAGCGGGAGAAGGTCGAGGCGAAACGGGTCAGGAGACGACGCCGGGCCCCCGGATACACCTTCCAGGTCGGGCCCGGACCGAGCGTCTCCCCTTTTCGCCCCCTCGCTTGCTTTCCCTCTCACCGGCGATACCTGATTGATTGCTAGATATCGACGAAGTCCCTTGGCCAAGTAACGGATGAAACGAATGAATCGAGATGTTTTCTGATCTGAGATGAGCGTGATGCAGAGCGGTCGAGGGGATGGGGGGTTGAGGATGGAGGCGGGGAAGGGCAGAGAAAAGTGCGGAGCCGGATGCGAAGATGAAGCCGGCGCCCGGCTCTGTGGAGGATGGAGCGGCCGATCGGTGGGGATTCTGGCACTGGACAGCCCGATGGCGGTACTCCTGTCCCGATTTCGGATCATCGGGTCCCCATCGATTCGGTATGATGCTGTGAGCTTATAGCGACGAGGCGGAGCCCTGCAATGGAAGGACAGGTACTTCCAGCGTACTGCTGACCAGCTCAGCGTACCAACGCCCTCAGATGTCCCCAAAGCGGGGTTACCTGAGCGTCAATCGCGCAGCAAGATCGTTTTCGTCGTCATTATTGCTGGAATAAACGCCAGCTTAGCCCTAGTGCTGCTTCTATCGCAGACGGAGCGTGACGGCGAGATGGCATTCGGCAGCAGCACGATCGCACAGGACGGACAAGCAGGTCATCTGCGGCAAATGAAGAGATCTTCTCGTGCTGCTGGGTCGAACGATGGGATATACAAAATACAAGAAGATCCGGGAGCGGCTGAAGGAGTGTGATTGAGAGCTGGTATGATGAGCTCGGTGGGTTGCGAGGGGGACACATCTATGAGACGGGTGTGATGGCACTACCGAATGGCGGCAGGAGCGCAGAGACGGCACGACGACGGTGTTGCCATATGCGGGGAGAGGCTGTCAAAAGACCCTGGGCTGAACTGGAACGGCTTGGTCGCCCGACGGCACGGTCCCTCCGCTCAGCACTTCTGCCACATCTTGACGCTGTCGACGACCATGGCCCTCTTCTCCTTTTCCTGGGGCCACGAGGGGAGCCACTTGTCCCTGGCGTTCCAGAAGTCGGAGCGCGCATTCTCGGCCTGGTTGCTCCACGGCTTGTTGGGGAAGCGGTCGTCCTCAAAGTAGCCGTTTGTTCCGCCGACGGCGACGTTGAGGATGAGGTAGAAGTCCTGGTCGAACGGCGCGATCTTGGGGTTGGCGGCGCGAGACCACGGGTTCTGCAGCAGCGTGCCGTTGCCCATCATGGGCGGGAACTCGCCCAGCTTCCAAAAGTCCTCGTCGAACTTGTGCACCAGCACCTTGTACACGGGCGAGCGCTCCCACGTGTAGATGCCCTCTTCGGTCCATTCCAGCCCGAAGGTGTGGAAGCCCTCGTTGAAGTACGTTCGCCACAGCTTGCGCACGTCGGTCGCCTTGGAGTAGCCGTCGAACATCCAGTTGGGGCCTGAAGGATTGGGCGAGCGAGGATCAGGGCGCAGCATCATGGTCAGTATTTGTGCCTCGCTTCCTTCGCTCGTCGGCGGCAGGATGCCATGATCGGGGGCACACTCACCAAAGTGCAGCGAGCTCTTCTGCGCGTTGACCACGGCATCGCCCCTCGTGGTGGGGAGGTTGCCCTTGCTCTCCATGATGTCGATCTCGCCGGAGCGCGGCCAGGCACCGTAGACGCTGTCCTTGGGCATCATCCAGATGGCGGGCCAGAGCCAGTCGCCCGTGGGCAGCTTGGCGCGCACCTCGACGCGGCCGTAGCGGATGGTGCGCGAGAAGTTGGTGATGAGCCTGGCGCTCTGGATGGGCGGGAGCACGACGCCCGTGGTGGCGTTGCTGGCCACTGCGCAGTTGTCGTCCGACTTGTTGCTGGCGGTGCACCTGCCGTCAGCGGTGAGGTTGAGCGTGTAGCCGTCGACGATGGCGCCCTCGCCGAGCGAGTCCGAGGTGAGGGTGGGCACGATGTAGAGCTTGCCGTCCTGGACGTAGCTGTTGTTGGTGCTGTCCGTCGTCCAGTCGAATTGGCCGTTGCCGAACCCGCTCGTCTCGACCTCGCGCAGCCAGATGTCGGTGTTGAGCGTGTCGCCCTCGAAGTCATCCTGGAGCACAAGGCAATACTTGTTGCGTGGGACGCTGGCGTAGGCCGTGTACATCATGACGGCCGCAGCCGCGATGCCGGCCGCGACGGCGGCCACAAAGATCCAGTAAGCCTTGCGGTCCGACTTGCGGCGCTGCGTCGACTCTAGCCACGGCTTGTCGACCGGCTCGTCGGTCCGCAGCGTGCTGCGTACGATCGGCCGGCGGTGCTGCAGCGCCGCGAGCGAGTTGGGATGCGAGACGGCAGATGCTTGGTAGAAGCCCACGCTGGGCGTGTTTGTGCCGGACGAGGCGGTCGAGTTGTACGAGAGGTGGCGAGCGCCCGCGAAACCAAACGAATTGGACGAGTTGCTGTTCGGCATCGAGCTGGACCCTGGCCGACCGTACGACGAGGGCGAGAGCGACGCAGAGTGCGAGAGCGACCCCGACTGCGAGTGCGATGACGCCGAGGCTGCTGGGCTGCGATCCGCAAACGGTCCGGCCAGGCTCTCGCTGTCCGTGTGGCTGGCGTGGCCTGCATCCACGTCGTCCCGCAGCTGCTCGATGGCATTGCTGTCGACCTGTGCGATCTCCTGAGTCCTTGTCGCCGACATGCTGACCGCGTCGCCGCTCGTGGGTGAAATATGTGTCGAGGCCTGGCGTGAAGCTTTCCGTTAGGTCGAGAGAAGAGTGCAGAGGGTGCTGTTGGTAGGAGTCTGGGCAAGAGGCGATGTTGTAGAAGGAACGGACGAAGTGGAAGGAGTGGTAGAGGGGTAAATAGGATCGTCGAAGGACACCGACCACGGAAGCGAAAGGGGATGGGCAGACGGAAGAAGCAGTCGACGAATCTGAACTTCACACAAACGTTGCCGAGAGGCATGCTCACGCCTACACCTGACTGACGGTGTCCGGTGTTGCAGGTATGTACCTAGCGTGGCAAACGGCTCGAGTCTGCAAGGACGAGTGCGGTGCACGGCTCATCCTTGTCCGCCGGACGTGTAGGTGCAGCACTGCAATGACGACCCTAGCAAGACGCTCTTCCGGGCCAACGTGCCTGGCAAGGTCAGCAGAGGAGCCCTGTCTCGGAGTAATGAGGAGGGGCAGACGCCGAAGCCGATACAGGGACACCGGTGCGCGGAGGATGTCATCCGTGCTGGCGCTGCTGCAGCGACAGCCCCGACGAACTGGCCTCGTCGCGGTGCGCGCCAAGCCGAAGGACAGCGGGTAAGGAGGGCCAGGGCGAGACAGGATGTGTCGGCGACAGGCCAGACCTCCATACAGTACCTCTGTTCCTACATGCGATTCTGCGCAAGAGCCGGGCGAATACTGTGTAGAGTGCGTAGGTGCGGGAGCTCCAGCGGCCGTCGCACCTCGGTGCGCTGAAGATGTGGAAGAGGCCGGTGTCGGCATCGGAAGGGCGCTGCCGAAACACGACTCCTCGGTCGATATCATCGTGTCTCGCAGAGAGGCGGCATAAGGCGACCGCAAAAGAAAGGAAGCAAAACCCGCTCAGATGAACACCTTTGTCCGCGCCCAGGTGAAACCAAGGAGGGGAGGCGCCCAGGCCCGGACGAGTCGAGCTGGTGTGTCTTTTCCAACCGCGCCTTGCTGGCTTTGACCCTAACCTGGGTCGGCAGGATCTGCAAACAGGGTACGGTAGGTACAGCACTTGCGGTCTCCGCACCCAGATGGCGGCATGCTGCCTCACTTCGTTTGCGGGCTCCGAGTGCGTCGTTCCTGGTCGAGCCCCTGATCTTCACCCTCGCGGGTCCCCGACATGCTGCGGCAGATTACAAATAGGCAATGGGAACCTCGCTTGACCACCACCAACGGCTCTGCCAGCCCAGCGGCCTGCCAAGCGCCGTGCGTTCACAGCCATCCGGCACGGGTGACCGCCATGGCGATCAAAGTGCACATCCTCGGGTCCTGCAGCGCCAGAGTTTCATTGGCGTCAAGAGTCGGCATGCTCCCGGTCCACCGCCGCCCTGACCGTCCAACGGAATGAAATCCCAGGATGTCCTCGACCTTCCCATGTCGCTTTTCATTGTCGATCGTTATTGTCCATCTGAGTACATGTACCACACGTGCACCTCGTATCAGCGTTCGACGATGCTCAGCGTGCACGGTTCTTTGGCTGCCTCTGCCGCGCTTGCCGGCTTTGCGAAGGGGAACTTTGGTGCCCCGCCGGCTTCCTCGATCGATGATCGCCCACACTGATCGGCTTCGAGCCATGTTCTTCTGTGCCTGGCGAGCAGCAAGCACGAGCCAGGAAGCGCAACCGTGCGTCGAAGGCCGGGTTGCTACATTTTCCTTAGCATCCTTCTCGAACAGCGAGAGCCCAGGCAAGGGTAAGCGAGGGTCCGAGGGTTTATCTCTGATTCCTGCCTGACTCCTCGTCCCTCGTCCGAGGCGACAGTGCAAGCAGGCTTACTCGGTGGCCTTCGCCCCTACCGGCGAGGAGCTTTGTCGAGACGCCGTCAGGATCGTGTCGCAAGGACGTCGGGACGGTGATTTCCGCGCGACCAAGCAAGGTCGGGGCATGGTGGAGGGCATAGCATCTTAACGAAGAGCGAGGAGCTGTCGGGCTTTGAAGTGTGGATCCGTGGGGGGACGATCGTGCCTCGTCTGCTTGCTTGCATCTTGCAGTCAAGCGGTCTGCACTCAAGCGGTCGTCGGCTCCCTCGGCCGTCTCTCGGCAGCATGCCAGGGCAGTCAGGGACCCGCATGTGGTACCGGACAGGTTTCGGGGACGATGTTGCTTGCGCCATGCTGGTCGTGCTGGGAGCCAGGCCGTGCCAAGCAGGACACGCGGTGCCGGGCTTTCCCCTCGACCGGAGCCGTCACGGTGCGACACCGTCCGGGTCAAGAGGGGGGCTCAGCGGCCCCGGCACGGACCGTTAGCCACACCGGAGTCGGCTCGTCATTACAGTAGTATTATTTTGCCCTCACGCTCCTTTCGGCCTCTGGACCAGCACCGGCGCGGTGGTCGTAGTCGGGAGGTGGTCGCGTCGGGGGAGGGAGGAGCGCCAAGGACAGGGAAAAGTACCCGGGCGGTTTCGGGAAGATTGCATGTTTGTGTCCAACGAGGCCGGTGCCGAATCAAAGCCCGCGTCCGAAGCCGCCGCTTGGTTCCAGTATGTAATGTAAGGTTGACGCTGCTGGGCGCTGGCATGTATGAGTACATAGTGAGCGAGATTGCGATCTTGGCTGCGGTGCAGGCAGATGCAGACGACGACGACGACGACGAGCAGCTTGCGTCAGAGGTACGCAGGAGTTTGAAATGAGGCCGAACGCCCAGCAGCACGCAGCGGCGTCATGCTGTCTCGCAGCGCGGCTGAGCGAGGAAAGAGAGGCCCGGAAGCAAGGGCGGCGACAGGCGGACGGGGTCGGTCGGGGGCGGGCGGGCGGGCGGACACGGGCGG